ATTTTAAAACTCAAGAGAGCATTGACAACTTTTAACAAACGAAACCATTGTTTTCCCTTCACTTTTGTAACTGATGTGTCATTTTTCATTTCATTCTGGATATGAATCGTAATTTCTTTTGCCTGTGTTTTTTCTTCGCAAGCACGCCTTTCATATAATGATAGAGGTAAGATGCATTGATGTTTGTTTTATAGTTGTGGAACATTTTGTGGGTAGTATACATTTTGTTTTTTTACTTTTGTTGTCGTTTTATTGTTTATGCTTTTTAAGTTTATGTTAGAAGTTCCTTACCACTTTCAGTGTTAAAAACCATGATTTATTTGACAGTAGCTTTTTTAATTCTCAAAGATTTATAATAAATAAATTTTAAAGAAGATTTATGTGCTATAGATTATATATATATTATACCATTAGACACATAGTAGCACAATATCCATATTAAAGATCTGAGATAGGTTGCATGTGGGAAGCTTAAACAAAATAAAAGAGTAAACATAAAGATACCTTCACGTTGCTTATAATTAAGCCTGTGTTATTTAAGATGGAATGTAGAAAAGACTTTTTAGTTGCTTAGTTAGGAGAAAGGAAAAAAAGTAAGTATAGTTAACAGCTACAAACTAGAGTTCAGTCTTAAAAACCTTTCATGGTTACTTTTTATATTTTGTTACTAGTTTAAATTTTTAGAATTAAATGTGGTCATTTTAAACAGAAGCTTTCTTTCACGTCTAGACAATTATATTTTAATGTGCATCTGTGTTTTCAGATACTGACAGCTTTGGCACCGTTAATGAATGAACTAGCTGGAAGACTTAACTTTTGCTAGTTTTTTCCCTGTTGTCCAGTGGAATAAGTCTGTATTTATTCTATAATTCAATCTTAGAAAAAGAACCAGAATAAGTAAAATGATTTCAGTTTGCTTTGTAGATCCCTACCTACAAAACTGCTTTCCAATATTGATTTCATAATGATACTGAGTAGGGCTGTGGGGAGTAGGCAGGAAAACTTTCCCCAGCTATTGCTATTTCTCCCCAGCATATCTTTTGGTACCAGAGTTTTCACATACAGATGGCAAAAAAGCAAAGATGTATCAGAGCTGTGCTTTAATTAGTAATTATTCTAGTTATGAAATAGGGTAAATATCACAAGAAGACTGAGGCTTGGAGAATATTTTCCGTCCTTCTAGTTGCCCAGAAAAAGAGTTTTATTTTAAAATTTTCTTTTATGTAGCAGGATATAGGCACTTTTTATATATTGGATTAGAATGTAATTCTCACATGTGACATTTAAGTTTGTTTCCCAAGGCATTTGGATATTTCAAGGTATAAACTTATTTCTGGAATAAAATACTGATTTTTTTTTTTTAGTGAATAAATTAGTATAATAATGCTAATAAACTGAAAATCATTTATAAAATCCTTATATTGTAAAATAAATACAACCAAAGTATAGATAATAATTACACTTTTTAAAAAATAATTACACTTTTTGTAAGTGCTAACATAATAGGGTGGGCTATGATAAGGAGTCTAATCCACTATGAGAAAGATGAGCAGTTCTCTTCTGTACAATTTACAGCCTCTGAAAACTCACTGGATGGTCAGCTTTGAGTTGGTTCTGACTTAATGGCACATAACAATACTATAGAGAAAAGTTGAAGATTATAATACAAGAGTAATATAACAAATTAAAAAAAACACAACAAACTAATAAGTCATGTTGGCTAGTGTTAACAGATTTATAGTTAGAATCTGTGTTATAAAAAGTATTTTTTGAACTAAAATACAATTTAAAATTACATTTAAAATGTCAGTTTTTTTACACTATACGTGAAAATGCCCTTTAAATTTTTTATTATTGAAAAGAATCCAATGTTTTCCTTAATTTATATATAATTTTGACCCCTATGTGTCCTATCTATTATAGTCTAATCTTGAATATTGTTAAGGAGCTAAAATATTTCCTTCTGAGATGATAGTGGCATACAAAGCCTTAGAAGTTAATGGGACTTTGAATTTTTATGTACATTTGGAAAACATATACTTTTTCCCCTAAACGTTGACATTGAAAATTATTGTATGTTTCATAAAATTAAATTAATATTATACTAAGATTGAATTTTAAATTTCATCTTAAGTTGAGATGTGAATGAAATAATCTGAACCTGTTATAATTATAGACGAAATAATATTTATGTGGTTGGCATTTGTCAGAACCTAAGCTTAACGTTATCCAGAGAGATGTCATCATCTCTTATCTAAATAGTTTTGGCATGCCTGTTTTGAAAAGTCTCCCTTTCCAATTTACCTTTGAAGGAAGAGAACTATAGACTTTATATAATAACTTTAAGTCTTCAGAAATGACTTTTTTAAAAAATTAAGCTTAATTTCTGCTTTGTGCAATTACACAATTCTTGTGCCCTGAGAAATGATTGGTTTCTTGCCCTCCAGAGCATCAGTGCTTAGCCTCCCTCCCCCAGCCTCCCCCCATCCTGCATGTTCCATTTGTATGATACACTCCTTTTCATTAGAATTGCCTGTTACATGCTGAAGTATTGGTTGAAGAGGGCATGGGGAGGGAGTGGGGGAGAGGAAAGTTCAGTATTGGTAGTATCTCTCCAGAACTTCTTGCCTACCCTAACGTCCAATCCCCAATGAGAACTGTAATCTTAAAATACATCACCTTCTGTAAAATTTTTTAACTGAAAAGGTTTTAGCATTACCAACTGTACATGTTTTGTTGAATATGAGAAAGAAAATGAGGGTTTTTTTATTAAAAAATAAGAATTCTCAAGCCATTTTATAAAGATTGTCAGCTTTAGTTTAGAAGAAGAAAGTACTCACACAATACTTGTAACATTAAGGGTCATTCTAATGCAGATGCAGGCTTTATAAACTTCTTAAGTGGTACAACTGGGCTGAGTGCTGTCTAAAAGGAGCACTAACTGGTCTTGAGGCTTTAGAAGAGGAGATGCAAAGAAAAGGAGGGAAAGAATAAGAAACAAATGCATCAGTACAGGGTAACATAACATTTACAGATGTCTTAGATGTAGCTATTGTTTTTGACACAAAGTTTAGTTCTTCTCAGAGCTCATTATGCAACTCTTGAAAACATTTCTCTTGCTTTTCTTTGGATGCATTCCAAGTGTTATATGCTGTGTATTGCTTTAGCTGCAGAAACTGAACTGATAAAATGTTTTCATTAAAGGGTAGGAAAAGAATCCTTTTTTTATTTTTGAAATCTGTGCTCCTATTTATAGGCTGGATTTACTTGATTTGGTAATAGACTACTTCATTTACATTACCTTGTAATATGATGACTATATATTTCCTATAATATTATTTGTATTCTCCCTGCTAGTTAGACCCTGATTACTTTTTTCTCTTCTCTAAATCTCAAATCATTTTTTTAAAAGTAATACTAAATACAAGCATGAATTGTTAGTATATTGGGTAATTAGAATGGGACGAATAATTGAGTCATAGTAGTAGTAACGTCTATGTTTATATGCATCATAATTGCTTTCCCTATTTGCATTGTGTTTGAGAATGCCCACGGTTTTTTTTTAGATTAATGAAGAAAGGTGTAAAATTGGAGATTTTGAAGAGATGTTTACTTAAGACATAGTGTTTCAAAACTTCATCAGTAAGGAAATGCTGACTCCATGAAATCACTGAAATATAGTGACTAGCATAATAAAATTCGGAGAATCTAGTTGGGAAAAGTCGTGAGATTGGATAATCGGAAGCTGGATTTGTTTGTTCTACTGTACAAGAGAATTCTGGTGGCATCATCTGTAGGAAACTACGCTGCTGACCCAGTTTGAATTCACCATCAGCTCTGTAGGAGAAATGTGGGCAGGCACCTCTCATGCAATTCACAGCCTCTATAACCCGATGGAGGGTCAGCTGTGAGTCAGTTCTGACTTGACAGCAGTAAGTTTTAGTTTTGTTTTGAGTTTGCCTGTATATACAGAATGATATGATAGGTATTAATGCTAAATGTGATTGTTGCCTGCTTTATAATCACAAAGGATGATTAGTAATGGTTGAGAACTTAATTCTGGCAAGATTGAAGTTAATGTCATCTGTATTGTGTTTATGGTTTTTGTTGATTGATTATTCATGTACTGAGTTTTTTTTCTCCAGAATTGATATGTATCATGTGCTGCTTATTTACAGTGCTGTTGTTATTTATCTATAGGACCCAGGACCACCCCCACCTTCTCCATTACTAGGTTTGAAGCCGCTGCAGTTGTTAGAAGTGAAAGCAAGGGGAAGATTTGGTTGTGTCTGGAAAGCCCAGTTGCTCAATGAATATGTGGCTGTTAAAATATTTCCAATACAGGTATGTTTATTGAAGGTTTGTTTTTTTGTTTTTTCGAAAAGAAAAATCTGTGGCTGTATATGTATATATGTATGTGTTCATTTAGAAAATGTGTTGTAACTCAAACATTTTGAAAACCATGTTTTAAGGTGGTTCTAGTGATACTGGGCTGATACTTTTATATTTACCTTCTCATCTGAGAAATGGAATAATTAGAACAATCATGTTTGTTTGCTGTGATAGATGTACAGTAGATGAACATATAGGGGCTAATTTACTAATAATTCTGTAGAAAAATTATAAGATGAAAGTGTTAATAAAAATGTAACCCATTTACTAAGTATATAAATTTGAGTATCTCATTAACATACCAGAAAAAACAAATACAGGAGTGGAAAGAGTAATGTGCTTTATTTTAAGAGTAGCTATTTTCAGGTAGATCACAAGACTAATTAATAATATCCCATGGACTGCCAAAAGAACAAACAGCTATGTCTTAGGAAAAATGCAGCCTGAGTATTCCTTGCAGGCGAAGATGATGAAGCTCTGACCTCTCATACTTGGGGCATATTGCTTAAAGAGGCTTATCCTTTGGAAAGGAATGTCATGCTTGTAATGATGGTCAGTGAAAGAGAGGAAGACCTCCAATGAGATGGATTTGACACAGTGATTGCAGTAATGGGCTCAGGTTTGTCAAAGATGACACACCTATGTGGATGGATAGGAATTTGTGATTGGGATGTGTTATTGTGTCCACAAATGGATTGGCTACTCTCTCCACTGAGTTGAGCAGATTCAGTGGCAAATTGGCAATCTACCACCAGAAAAGAAGAAGCAAAGAATGTGTTGTGTAGGGCCTTTTAGGCTAAAGATTTCTGTGCCTCTCAGAACAAGACCTACAGGACAGTGGTCATGGCTGAGAACCAGACACTTGAAACAAGACAGAGCTGATATTAGGACTGTTACCCTACATAATCAGAACTAGGAGTCTTTGCCCAGGTTTGTTGGGGGGCTAGGATGGGGAGAGCCATAATTGGCAGAACTAGGAGCTTTGTAACACTTGCTTAAAGCCACAAGGCTGACCATCTGGTGGGTTTTCAGAGGCAATGAATCACATGGGAGAGATTGCCCATCCTTCTCTCAAGGAGCAGCTGATGCATTTGAATAGTGTGCCTTTGGGATTGCAGTACAACTTCTTAACCACTATTTCACCAGAGCTCTCTATATACATTGTTGTTATGTGCCATCGAGTTGCCTATGACCCCTAAGGACCCCATGAACAGTGACCTTGAACCTTGCCCTATCCTGAGCCAACCTCACAATCTTTGACACACCTAACTCTGTATCCATCTCATTCAGGGTCTTCCTCTACTGTGCTTACCCTCCACCCTTCCAAACATAAACTTATTTTCCAAGGACTGGTCATTAGTCCTGTATACATTTGTGAAGACTAATATATGTGTACAGAGTTTTGCACATGAAATACATGTATAAAGCAGCATAGAAGAACCCTATTCAGAACACAGAACTATCCTCATATTACTCATGAGGAAATAAAATGATTTTGTAATTTGCCAAAGGTTAGTGGGAGAGGCGAGATTCAAACTTAGATAGCTTATCTCCAGAGAGTTTCTAATCATTATGCTGTGGTGCCTCTCATTTTTATTATGCTTTCATAGGGAAATGAAACTTTTTTTATGGTAGAAGATTATAAGATGTGGATCATTTGTAATATGCAGTTTTCATGATTGTATTATATATTTGCTCGTTGCTCTCTTGGTGACTTTTCAGGGAATTAGAAAATTTTTATGAGGAATGTTTGAAAAAAAATTAGTTTTCTATATAGTTTAAGAAATTTTACCTGAATTTCATCTTTGAGGGACAATATTTTGCATAGTAACAAGAAGTTAATCACACTGCAGTGAAATTAGCTATTGTAAACAGAATCTCTTGTCATTGTAAGATAAAACAGCACAGTTTTTAGCAAATCTTTGTGTATACAAACTAGAAACATAAGAAATGTCCGTTTTGAGAGAATGGAACAAGGGTAAGCATTTTGTATGACACTTTTACTTGTTGTAGAGATTTCTCTTGCTAAAACACAAGAAAATGAAAGCTTTAGTATTTTTATTAAAAAAAAACCCTTAATATTTGAGTAATCTCTTAGACATGATTTATCTGTACTTTTGTGTTTATTTATTTTTTTAAATTCTAGGACAAACAATCATGGCAAAATGAGTATGAAGTCTATAGTTTGCCAGGAATGAAGCATGAGAATATATTACAGTTTATTGGTGCAGAAAAACGAGGTACCAGTGTTGATGTGGATCTTTGGCTAATCACAGCATTTCATGAAAAGGTAAAACTACTTTGTATTTTAATTTAGTAAAATCAGGGCTGACTTGTTTGTGTAATATTGCCTACAAATCCCTTATGCTTTTTTCTTCTGGATATGGTCGCTTGCTATTGGTTTTTTTAAAAAAAATTGTTTATTATTATTATTTAATTTAGAAGTAGAAACCATCCTTAATATTTAAAAATAAATTTTTTTTATTTACTAAAAAAAGCACGATGGTAACTTTTCCTCCTTGCTGTCTACTCACAAACATAATTTTTCCTATTGTTGTAGTTGCTTCTCTAAGTGATACAGATCCTTTAGTATAACTGGATAATTTTTGGAAATTTTCAGTAATCGTTTAAGATCCATTTTGCTTATTTGAAATAATTTTATTTCACATTTTGGATCAAATGACAGTTGAATTGACAAAGCCAGAGTTAGAAAATTTATTTCTTGTTCATAGTCACCTCAAGCTACTACCATCAATTCAATTTTGACTCATTATCTCTATAACTGTAAAGCTTGTAAAGCAGAATCTTATCCATCTTTCTCCTGAAGAGTGTTTGGTGGGTTTGAACTTCTGACCTTTCATGTAGCTTCCAGAAGGTTACACACTATGTCACTAGGGCTCCTTCTTGTGTGATAGTCGATCTCTCAGTGCCAGTAGGTAAAGAACACTCTCACCGCTCATTTTTTTTCTACTTGCAGAGTTAGTGTAAAAATACTGTATTGGTGTTAGAAATTGTGTTCTCTAAGTTTCATCATTGTTAGGTGTATGTGCTGTCTTATTTTTCTGCTTGTGATACTTTAATAATTCTTGGCCAAAAGGATGACAGCAGTCTCTAGAGGCAAAACTTTGAAAAAAATTTTAGTTCTTCTATGTAGGTCTTGATTTTGTTTTGTTTCAGTCCTATGGCATAACACCTTTATAGTCAGTATATAATTTGGCTTTTTAACCATTTTTACAGCTTTAAATTTTCATGTATTTTTATTTACTTTTATTCTTTATATTCTGAATAGGGAGAACATGACCACCTGCATTTGTACAAACTCTTAAATATTAATATATTCTTTTCTGAAGAAATGTATTAGAATTGGAAGGATGATCTTTAATAACTTCAGAAGGATTGAGTTTTGGATGTTTTTATTTACTGAAATAAAAGTTATATTGCTTTCTGTAACTTTAAAAGGAAAAAGGAAATTCTCCACAAACAGAAGACGCTTGTCAAGTGTTATGTTTTCTCTTTTCTCTTCCTCTCCTTTAGGGTTCACTCTCAGACTTCCTTAAGGCTAACGTAGTGTCTTGGAATGAATTGTGTCATATTGCAGAAACCATGGCTAGAGGACTGGCATATTTACATGAGGATATACCTGGCCTAAAAGATGGTCACAAGCCTGCCATTTCTCACAGGTAGAGCTAAATTTATATTTTCTTAGATAATGAATATATGTTTAATATTTAAACTTTTATGTCCGGAATAAAATGGCCTACTTTTTAATACCCTGCCATCAGAGATAGTTGTTTTACTTTAGCAGCACCATGATGAATTGAAGTTGCAAAAGGAGTCAATGCAATGTGGCAGTGGCTGAGTCTCATATGCTTCATAAATAAGAACTTTCCCTATTAATAACATCCATAACAGCAAATAGATAGCTTCTCCATCAGACATGCCACTCCCTTGCTTCTCCATCATTCAGGTCTGATATTTGATGTTGACTCAACAGACTTTACTCACAGTTGGGGTACCAAGAGTCGGGTTTATTTGGAAAGTAAATTGGAAAGCAGGGGAGGCAAAGAATATCACCTAATGCAAGTCTAGGTTTTGTCCCAGTAGTCACAAAGCACAATTCCTAAATTAGTCCAGGCTCTAGTTTCAGTTAGCTTTTCCTTCTATCATGTGGCAGGAACAGGAAAACCTTTAACTGTGGCTTTTATCTCAGGGCTCCTCTGGTTAACCTTGCCACGGTTTCTCCACAGCACTACCATGGTCTCTCCACAGCAATGCCACAATCTCTCCATAGCCATCACCAGGGTCTCACTTTGACGAAGGTCTTGCTCCAGTCTCCCTTAAGTCTTGCTGCTTAGTGTGGGAAGCATTCTCTCTCTTCTAGTCCCACAACAGTTGATGATTTGCAGGATCATGTGTCTGCAGTTAATATAGCTGGAGACCAGAAAAGGCTCATGTAATGATTAGAAAAGCCAACTTTAAAGTTACCACCACAGAAATTGTTTATGATTTAATCTTGTTTGGATCTGCAGTTAACACCCTTAGTACCAGCAGTTAAGAAATCAAAAGAAATGTTGCATTGCAAAAACAATCTGCTGTCGACCTCTCCAAGGTGCTCAGGACCACCAGTGTCTGTTTATAAAGACTAAGGTGAACCTGAATCCATTTTATGTTTTTTAAATGACTTCCTATGTATCTGAAAGTTGGACAGTGACAAAAGATGACAGAAGAATTGATATAGTTTAGTTGTGGTGCTGGAGAAGCAGTGGCTGAGAGTGGACAAAGGGATATAGTAGTTTAAAGTTAAGAAATGTGTGTGTCAGGATTGTATCCTTTCGCTGTATGTATTCAGTCTGTATGCTGAGCAAACAAAAATACTGAACTATATGAAGAAGTCAGCATTAGGATTAAAGGAAGACATGTCAACAATTTGAGTTATGCAGATGAAACAGTCTCTCTTATAAAAAGGCAAAAAGACTGGAAGTGCTTTACTAGTGAATATCAAAGACACAGCCTTCAATATAGCTTACTCTTCAGCATAGACAAAACAAAATTTTTCACAACTGGTCCTGGAGAGAACATTGTGATGGAACATAGAAAATACTGAAATAGTCAAATACTTCATATTACTTAGAACCACAGTCAACGTCTAGGAAAGCAGCAACTATGATATTAATCACAGAATACATTGCATTCGGCAAGCACTGCATTGTTACACTGTAATCCAAAGTCATATTGTTTGAACCCACCAGTTGCTCCATAGGAGAACGGTAGACAGTCTCCTCCCATGTGATTTACTGTCTCTGAATGTCCACTGGAGGGTCAGCTATGGGTCAGTCCCAGATTAATAAAACACAACAACAGTGCCCCTGACCCAAGCCTTGCCATTTTCAGTCACCTCACATAGGTAAAGAGCTAGAGACAGAAGATAAAAAAGGTCTAACTTGCTTGGCACTTCTTAAAGAAACTAACGAATAAATTCAAGCCTTGAGTTGAAACACTTAGGGATGCTATGGGCAGAATATTGAATGATCCAGAAAACATCAAAAGGAGATAGGAGTATAGAGTCACTGTGCCAAATAGAACTGGCTGGCATAGAAGTATTTATGAAGCAACTTATGCTCAGGAGATAGTGGTAATGAAGGAGAAAGTTCGAACTACTGTGAAGGAATTGGCAAAAAACTAGGCCCCAGGAATTGATGGAATACCAGTTGACATATTTCAACAAACAGATGATGCCCTGGAAGTGCTCACCAGGCTGTGCTAAGAATTCGGGTGGACAACCAACTGGCTAACTGACTGAAAGAGATTAGTTTTTATTTCCATTCCAGAAAAAGGTGATCCAACAGAATGTGGAAATTACAGAATGGTTTTCCTAATATCACACACAAAGAGAATCCTGCTGATTATCCAAAAAGTACATCAACAGAGAACTACCAGATATACAAGCTGAGTTTAGAAGAGGTTGTGGCACTAGGAACATCATTGCCAAAGTCAGATGGATGTTGGCCGAAAGAAGAGAGTACCAGAGGAATGTCTATCTGTATTTCATTGACTATGCAAAGGCATTTGACTCCATGGATCACAACAAATTGTGGCTAACTTGAGGAAAATTGGAATCCCAGAACACTTCATTGTACTCATGTGAAGCCAATACATAGACCAGGAGGCAGTTGACAGACAGAGCAAGGAAACACTGCATGGTTCAAAATTAGGAATGGAGTGTGTCAGGGATGTGACCTATCCCCATACTATTTTAATCCATATGTAGAACAGATCATTCAGGAGGCTGTTTACTTTATGAGGAAGAATGTGGCATCAGGATTGGAGGAAGACTCATCAACAACCTGTGTTAAGCAGATGACACAACCTTGCTGACAAAACTGAGGATCTGAAGCACTTATTGCAAAGAGTCAATGACAGTGATTTGCGATATAGATTGGAACTCAACATCAAGAAGATGAAAAATCTCATTACTGGGCCGATTGGCAGCATCATGATAGAGGATGAATAGATTGAGATTGTTAACAATTTCAGTTTATTCAGTTCCACAATCAACCCTCTTTGCACCAGCAGTCAGGAAATGGAAAGACATTGTATTGGGAAAACCTGCTGTCAGGACCTCTCCAGAGTGCTGAAGAGAAAGATATCAGTCTAGAGACTAAGGTGCCATGATCCAGGCCATAAGCTTTGCAGTTACTTGCAAATCAGAGAGCTGGATGATGAATAACAAAGACAGAGGAAGGAAGAATTGATGTCTTTGGGTTGTGGTGCTGGAGAAGATTATTGAATATACCATGGACTGCCAAAAAAGTAACCCCTCAGTCCTGGAGAAGGTGAAACCAAGTTGTTCCTTGGAGGCAAGGATTTTGAGACTCCATCTCACATACTTTGGGCATGTAGGTAGGAGGAACCAGTCTTTAGAGAAGGATGTCATGCTAGTAAGGGTCGATGAACAATGTAGGAGAGGAAGACCTCTGATGAGATGGATTGACACTGTAACTAGGGCAATGAGGATAGGTGTGTCAGATACAGTGAGATTGGGTCAGGATAGAGCAGGATTCAGTGCTGTTGTGCATAGGGTTGTTTTGAGTCATGGTTGACTTGACAGCACATAGCAACATCACAACATATGCATGGTAGGTGACATATGAAGAAGGACTGGAGAATGCTGCTGGCCGAGTCCTCCATGTGAGGTGAACATGCGCTGGTCAGTGCAGCGGCCGTGGAGCCGCTATAGGCTCGCTGGGCCCCAGGCCCTGAGTCATGCGAGCACCAGCCTAGAATCAGATAGAATCTTCAAGATGGCTGACCAAGACTCCGGAGCATTAGCCTCCTCCAGCAGATTTCAGGCACTGGGGCGATAGTCACCTCTCTCTTTATGACACCCCTAGATGTGGTGAACGGGCACCTGCAGTCCCAGTGTCTCTCAGGTACCAGTGAACCAAACCTTTCCTCTAGACTGGAGCATCTTCTACACCAAACTGTCATCACCACTCCAACCTGCTGGGAAGTGCTTCTTGTACTGCAGTGGAGTCCTGGAGCTAGTATACCTGTACCCTAATGGGCCCTGCTGTGTCACCTGGTTTCAGGATCCTACCTGCTTCGTCACCTGGTTTCAGGATCCTGCCTGCTTCACTGGCACCATGGATGCCTTTTTAAAGATTGTGAGGCATGAGGGTACCAGGACCCTGTGGAATGGCCTCCCAGCCACCCTGGTGATGACTGTGCCGGCCACCGCCATTTAGTTCTCCACCTATGACCAACTCAAGACCTTCTTGTGTGTGTGAAACGTGACCTCTGACCTCTGTGCACCCATGGTGGCTGGCGCTCTGGCCCTATTGGGCACAGTGACTGTAATCAGCCCCTTGAGCTGGGGCAGACGAAGCTGCAGGCTGAGCATGTGTTGTACTGGGATCTGGGTGCCTCTGTTCAGCCTACAGTGGCTCAGGGAGGTTGGCACTTTCTCTGTTTAAGCTGGGGGCCCACTGCCCTTCAGGATGTGCCTTTTTCAACTCTATATTGGTTCAACTACAAGTTGGTGAAGAGCGGCTAAGTGGGTCCAGGCCAAAGGACTAGACATCTGTGGGCATCAGCTTCATGGCTGGTGGCATCTCAGGGACAGTGGCAGCCATCCTGACTCTGCCTTTCAATGTGGTGAAGACTCAGAGCCAGGTCCGGCTGGGAGCATGAGGCCGCCACTTGTGGACTCTACCTGGCTGCTGCTGCTGCGGATCCGAGCCGAGTCAGGGACCAAAGGACTCTTTGCAGGTTTCCTCCCAAGGATCCTCAAGGCGCCACCCCCTCCTGTGCCATCATGATCAGCGCTTATGAGTTTGGCAGAAGACTTTTCCAGAAGCTCAACCAGGAGTGGCTTCAGGGCACTTAAAGGGGTAAGGGGTTGAAGACCCACTCCCATCTGCTTCATGGATGGGATGCAGGCAGGAGACTGAGCCAAGTGCTTTTTCCTCAGCACTGAGGGGTGAGGAGCTGCTTCCCTTCCCCCCTCAGCGCCCCCCTCACACATGGCTTTCTTTCTGCTGCTCCCTATTCCTGAGACTCAGGAGCATCATTTTCCCAATCTCCCAAGTTCAAGACCAAATCTGCTGTGTCCCCACATCCTCATTTCCCTGTTATTTTTCTGTAACTGGACTTGCCCTCAGGAAACAAACTGGGCCTGCCTCAGTCTACCCTATCTCTATTAATTCCTTATGTCTAAAGATGCAGGGAGCGGGGGAGGGAGACTGAAGAAGAATGAATGCATCTAAATTATGTGCTGAAGCTTCACTGCAGTTCGTGGCTACCAGCTGCTCCATGGGAGAAGGATGGGCAGTCTCCTCCCATCTGATTAACTGCCTCTGAAAACCCACCAGAGGGTCAGCTCTGGGTTGGTTCCAACTCTGCAGTACACAGCAACAAAATCTATATGTTAGAGAAGATGAGGGTAGCGCAGAATAAAGCAGAGTTGAGATCTGTTTATAGGGTTACTACAAGTCATAGTCGACTCAGGGGCAACAACATCATTATGACCTGCCAATGAACAAGCAAATCTATCTCAGAAGAAGTACAGCCAGAATGTTCTTTGGAAATGAGAATGGCAGGATTATGATGTACTTTGGACAGGTTGTTTGGAGGGACCAGTCCCTGGAGAAGGACATAATGCTTGATAGAGTAGAAGGTCATTGAAAAAGAGGGAGACCCTAAACTAGATTAATTACTTCAGTGGCTATAACAGTGAGCTTAAACATAGCAATGACTGTAGATTTGATGTGGAGTGTGAGGCAGTATTTCGTTCTGTTTTATGTGGGGTCATTAGGAGTTGAAACTGACTCAGTGGCACCTAATAACAACAATCTAGAACTCATTTATCCCCTTCTTGGTCTGTGTACATAAACGTACATGTTGTCCATGGTATAGATATTTCTATCTAGGGTATAAGGAGCTTTGGTGGCTTAGTGATGAGGAGTTGAGCTGTCAACCCAAAGGCATGCAGTTCAAATCCACCATCTGCTCCACAGGAGAAAGATGAGTAGTCACCTTACGTGCGATTTACAGCCTCTGAAAACCTGGTGAAGAGTCAGCTGTGAGTTGATTCTGACTCCACAGCACCTGACAACACAATAACAGATCAAGGGCATAGTAATCTTTAGGTAAACCATTTGAGGTAAATAGATGGCTGAGGCTATCAGGTCACTTTAATACTATTACTCTTTTTTTGAACACCAGAATTTAGCTGGGCAGGTTTTGGTTTTTTGGTTTTGTTTTGGGTTTGGTGGTTTGTTTTGTTTTTGTTTTTTTTTTCTTGGATTTCTGTGTGTGTGTGTGTGTGTGTGTGTGCACGCGTGCACGCGTGCGCACACACACAATTTTTTACCTATTCTTAGACATACTTTTCTAAAGATGTTAGCCCATTATGATAAGGGATTGTTTTGAAATATAGACTGGTACCAATAGGCAGAAAGTGTTAACTCAGCCATTTTTAAAAAAAAATTCATTTTGATTTCTATAGAGTTTAAGTGATTCTGTGATCTGAAATTCTCTAAGAATACTTTTAGGTGGCAGGGACATAGGTAGAATGTAGTTGTTAATTGCTGTAGAGTCACAGCAACATCCTGACTAGATAGCAAGTATTCAGGGTAGACAGTCATTTTGAAATATCAGCTCTATAAAACTGTGTGAGGGTAGAGCCCTTTTGTTATCATCTTTGCTGAGATCATTCTTGTGCTTCAGACTGTATTAATATTTTTCTCTCCCTTACTCTGGATTTTGTACATTCAGATAATATTCTTTCAAAGCATACATACATATTCTGCCTCTTTTCTACTTTGAGTAACATTTTAAAAACATAATATGTTAGAACTTCATTTGAATATGTTGCCTTTCTATTTGTAAGGGACATCAAAAGTAAAAATGTGCTGTTGAAAAACAATCTGACGGCTTGCATTGCTGACTTCGGGCTGGCGTTAAAGTTTGAGGCTGGGAAGTCTGCAGGTGATACCCATGGACAGGTAGGAAGACAATTTGAAAATGTAAAAACAAAAAGGAAAGGATGTTTCTACTTTCTTTACAATGGTCTTTCAGGATTGAATCCATGTACAGTTATTTTGTGGTGATTGAATCAGCATCGAAGGAACCTTCTGGTAGTTTAGTTCAAGCACTTCATAAAGCAGCCAAATCAGATTATAGGAGAATTTACTTTTTAAAGTTAATCAAAGACAATGTAACTATTTTTAACAGACTTCATGCTTGTGAATTCTTAAGTCTAATCTAAGTATTAACTCAGTACTTTTAACTTGTCGATTAATTCTCTTATCACCCTAAGAGAAATGGAAAAATAATCACTGCTCTTGTTCCAGTGGAGTAGATGTTCTGCACAGTTTTCTGAACAATAAGTATGATTTGTTATCCTTGGTAATTTTTATAGTTTCATTATTTTGTGATCAACTTCCTACTTCTGTCTGTATTCTCTTCATTGTTGAGAGCACTTGTAAATCCCTGAATGAGATGGCGTAAGTCTAGTCAGAGTCTGCACAGCGTGAACTCAGCACTGAGTGCCTGCACGCTAGATAAACCAGAAGATGATGTTATCCTTGCTCTCTGTTCTCTGAAATGGAAAGCCAGGGCAGGTGTTTTCACTCCTACTAGATCACCTTTAGTAGCAGATAGTAATAAAGGATTCTAAGACTGAAGAATTTAGATCACCTTTAGTAGCAGATAGTAATAAAGGATTCTAAGACTGAAGAATTTATCAGTAAATATATTTATTTTGTATTTTTTTAATAATTTTTAAATTTTTTTATTATTGTGTGTGTGTACCGTCAAATCGGATCTGACTGGTACAGGAGGAGATTGCCCCTCCTTCTCCAGAAGAGCGTCTGGTGGATTAGAACTGTGTACCTCTGGTATTACAGTGCAGCTTCTTATCACTAGCCCACCAGAGCACCCTTAATATATTTTTTAGAAGTTTATCTTTTGGCCTCCTTCCTGTGCCTGCCGAGACACCCCACTCAACACAGCAAGAGCTTCTTACAGCATGACCTGTATTAATCTGTCTCCTGACCACCGCTCTATGAACTGTCAAGAAGACACCCTTGCCATTGCTGTCCTTCCAAACAACACCGGAGCAATTTAAGAAGCAGCTTTGTGCATTTACAAACTAACCATCAGTGAATTGTGCATGATAAAGTACACACTGCTCCCTCCAAATGAGACAGCATAACATACCTACCTCCCTTATACCCCATTCACGCTTCCATTCAGCAGGAAGCAACCAGAAGACCTCGTCACTCCCTGTCACCCCAAAGGTGGGAATGTTAAGCTAAAAATCAAAATGGAGGTTGAAGCTCAAATAGAAAATCCTATGTCGGGATATTTTCCAAAACCAGAACTCAGAAAACCCTATGTCAGGACATTTTCCGGAACCAGAAAATCCTGTCAGGACATTTCTGTGAAACCAGAACTCAGACATCCAGTGTCAGGACATTCCCACAAACCAGAACTCAGGAATTCCCGTATTAGAACCTTTTTCAAAATCGTAAACTTTATGCACCAGTGAGCTACTGCAGCGTCAACTCATTTCCCTCGAAAACACACTTGCTAAAACCCCATATAAACCCTCTAAGCCCAAACCCCAGTGCTCTTCCCCTTGCTGAGTAGCCCAGTGTGCAATAAACTCTGAAAATTCTACCTCTTAAAAAAAAGTTTCTCTCTTAGCTAATTTTTTTAACTTTCAGCATAATTATAGTTTTTATTTTAAAACAAAAAAGTCAATATTTTTTTAATAGTATAAGTACAATAGTATATGCAGCTTAATTTTTTCTATAAACATTCTCCCCAGTTTCTTACAATTACTTTCAGGATGAGAAAAAGGAAATTCTAAGATTTCTATTTGTGTGTGTGTGTCTCCAGAGGAACTTTTTTTGACAATTCTAGTTTTTCCATCTAACAGTATTAGTGAATTTCATTCTTTATCAGCACTTGCACATCTGCCATCAATGTTTGAAAAGCTGTGTAGTACTTTTTTGTTTTAACAGTCCCTACTTGTGATGCTTTGGTTATTTCCAGTGGTTTGGCTGTTGCATTACTTGAAATAGACTGAATATTGCTTCACTCTCTAGTTTGATAGTCACCATTTAGTTGCCGTTCTTAGATTTAGAACACATTTAATTTTCTTTGATTCTTACAAAAATCATAAAATGTTATCTCATACAGTTAATGAATGAGTACTATTTACTTTTAACATCTTTTTCAGGTTGGTACCCGGAGATATATGGCTCCAGAGGTATTAGAGGGTGCCATAAACTTCCAAAGGGATGCATTTTTGAGGATAGATATGTATGCCATGGGATTAGTCCTGTGGGAACTGGCTTCTCGCTGTACTGCTGCAGATGGTAAGGGAAACATTTTTAAAAGATATACATGCCTGCTACACATGTATGAAAAAGGGTGATTATGCTCAAACATAATAGCTTAAAAGTATAAATTTCCCTTTAAAAGATTTTCCAGTAGCATTAAAGGATTTGTAACTTGAGAATTCAGAAGACAGGAGGGCCTAGAGCAGGAGAGGAGAGGTGCCAGTCTTACTGTTGCCATATATTTTACTGGTCACTTTATAGTCCTTTCAGTTATTTCTGAATCTACTTTGGAAGTAGTCATTTTCCCAGTTTTACAGACAAGGAAATTTTTAGTCAGATAAGCAGAGTAGCTTGCCTGAAATAGCCTTAAATTGTTAAATAGTAAAACCTAGATTTGAAGCTCTGATTCACATATGGAAAAAGGGGTGCTACTTTGGTTATATGGATCCTGTGAGGTTCCAGGTTCATAAGTCAGCTCATAGGCTGAGAGGAGATCATGGTGAGTGAGGATTTTGCTGCCACCCAGGATACTCAGTTTCTGTCCTGTTAGCACTGAGGTAATACTGACATACAGCTAATGAATGACTGAATTTAGTCTTTCCTTTGTGACAGACCTGGAAGCACTGATTTAGATAAATCACAGATTAAATTCTGCCTCCTTGAAGTCTTGACAGTCTAATTCAATGCAGAAATAAATGTGTACATTAGTCTCGTTACCTAACCTCAGATTCAAAAGAGTTCTTATTCTTTGTTCTTTTTATTCAGGATTTCATTCAAGTCCTGTAAAAATCTTCCTTATTTAGGAGTTTGAGGCGATAAATTTGCATAATATATTCCTAGTATGACAACCCTAGTGTGTGCTAACTAGGTAGTCCTCCTTCCCTAGGTCTCTACTCTTTCCAAATACATTATTTATTTATTGATTATTTTTTTACATGAAAATAAGTAAGGCATACTTCCTAACTGCTACATTCCAAAACAAATTAAACTTGATCTGGCTTTTTCCTTTATAGTTACCTAAAAACTTTCTGTGGATTGTTAAAGACCACTGAGAAATTGTGTTGAACATTTAAAAAGCTGTAACTCACACAACCTATCTTAATATTTGTGATGAGTACAGTAGTTTCTTGATGTAGGATAGACCTCTGGAATAAGAAATTAAATCTGGATACCACCTTTAAAGGGAATTTAGTAGAGAGTGCTCAGGAATGGGCAGCTTTTCCTACTTCTAGCATGGGGGGTTTGGTGTGGGAGTGGATCCAGAACCTAAGAAAGGTTGAAGCAATTTGGGGATAATTTTAGCTTGAAGCCTATAGGAAGAAAAGTAAGCTGTTCAATGTATTTTAACTCAAAGTGGAAGAGGAAATATGTTTTTTTATGTGTGCATTTATGGAAGCAGAACTAGGTCAGGTGGCAGATGTTATAGGAAAGTGTATTTCATAACTTTATTCATATGAACATTCCAAGGCAAACTCTTCATTGGGTTAGGTGACATAGTTGGTAAACATAATGTTTGTAATTTACAGATTTAGTTAATTAAATATATCCCAGACAATTATGTCTTGAGTGGAGTGTAGATGTTTTAGTTCAGTGTCCAGTACATAGTAAGTATTCAGTAAGTGTTTCTGAGTGAAGATAGGGCTTGAGAGATGTACAGAAATTTTACAAGAGAGGAGTGTTATTTTAAGAGGAATGAGAAATTACCTTGGTGTGGGGAAGTGGGATGATAGAAGAACTTTATATGTGAAAGGGAAAAGTACTTCATATGTACCATGAGATACTGAGTTTCAGAGTCAGGTATTTGAAGTCAGAATATTCTAAGTCAGAAGCTGGGACAGAGGGCACAGTGTCAAACATGTTCAAGTTGGTGTTTTTAAATTTATTGCTGGCTGATGCTTTAGTCCGGTGATACTCAAACTTTTGTATGTGCACTAAACTTTGGAATCTTACTAAAATGCAGATTAGATTCTGAATTGTTTATTAAGTTCTCAGCTGATTCCAATGGTGCTGGGCTGTAAGCCGCACTTTGAGTAGTGATGAGTGACTCTAAACCTGAAAATGTCAGCACACCCTTTGAATGTGCCAAAATAGAGCCTAGACAGCCTCACCTTCAAGAACTCTAACATTTGGAGAGGTTGTGTTAGGTGGCCTTTCCATGAGTTATTGTTTATGGCTTGTATTCTGCACAGGAGTTAGTTCATTTAAAGGACTTGGACAGCTTTATGTATGAATATATCTAGTTATTACGGTTACTCATTAATAATATCTTTCTGTCAGTAAAAGATAGTCCAGTGAGGAAAAGCATAAATTATTAAATCATTCAAAGAGATGGGTTCAGTTTATAGCTCTGCCACTTAATAGTTTATATACCCTATGCAAATTCTTTAACTCTCCTGATCTTTCATTTGTTAAATAATAGTAATACCAACATCACATATGGGACAGTAAAAGTAAATAATACATATCATGTGCCTGGTAATGATAAATGTTTATAAAATGTAGCTGTTATTAACTTTCTAAATGTAGTTTCATATTTATCTGAGTAGGCCTAAGAAAACCAGAATTACTGTTATTGTTGAGTAAATCTTTGTAAACGTACATTCTGACTTGCTGGGAAAACTAGTTGCATGTTTGAATATGCCTATAATTGAAAAAAACAGTATATACTTCTGGTAACTCTTGTGAAGACAGAGAGGTTTAATTCAGCTGTTTAACTTTTCTTGTGGAGTGAGTCTGGCGTTTGGTATGTTGTTGTCATGTGCCGTTGAGTCGACTACACTTCCTAGCAACTCTGTGCATAGTAGCTCTGAAACCTCCTCTATCCTGCACTATTCTCATTGTCTCCAACACACCTGACCCCATTACTCCAGTTATCGTGTCAGTTCATATCATCTGGGGTCTTCCACTCTTGCACTGTCCCTCGACCCTTCCAAGCATGATGTCCTTCTCCAAAGACTGGTCTCTCCTGGCCACATAACTGAAGTGTGTGATGTGGTATCTTAAAGTCCTTGCCTTTAATGAGCAACATGATCTCAACCTCTCCAGGACAGACCTGTTATTCTTTTGGCAGTCTGTGGTATGTTCAGTACTGTTCTCCAGCACCACAGCTCAAAGGCATCAATTCTCTGTCATCCTTGATATAGGGTGAACTCAGGCTCTTCAGAGAGGAAACATTGATATCAGTGTTTCGATAGAAATTTCGAGAAGGAATGAGTATGTGATGGTAAAATTTAAATTCCACCTTAGTGCCATCTAATTTGTTCTGCCTAACTGTGACCCTCTGTTGGATTTCTGATGTGGTAAATCCAACCAGTAGATGCCCATCCTAGCCCTCGGAGCTGCTGGTGGATTCCAACTGCCAAAGATAAGCATTTACAGCTTGCTATCAACAATTCCACTAGAGCTCCTCTTGAGTACTCTAGAGGGAGTCTTACTTCCTTGATTTGCAAATTCTGGTGCCTATGCCTTGCTCACAGATGGATAGAGGCATTACTGATACATAGATAAGAAAGCCCCGTATAGTCTTTAATGGGGAAACATGCCAAATCACAGAGGCACTCTTTTGGTGTAGTGGTTAAAGAATTTGGCTACTTAACCAATAGATTTATTGTTCAAACCCACCAGCCTCTCTTAAGGGAGAGAGATGAGGTAGTTGGCTTCCGTAGAGAGATTTCCTAGCTGTAGAGACCTTGTAGGGCAGTTCGGCTTTGTCCTCTGGGGTTGCTGTGAGTCGGAATTGACCTGATGGCAATGGATTTATGCCAAATCAGAGACCTTTCATTCCTCACAATCAGAGTTTGGGTTACAGTGTGGTGGTGTATATTTTAGAAAATTCGTACCACTTTGGAAATCAGGAAGATTTAATTTTTTTTCTCCTTTTACATTTCAGGGCCTGTAGATGAGTATATGTTGCCATTTGAGGAGGAAATTGGCCAGCATCCATCCCTTGAAGACATGCAGGAAGTTGTTGTGCATAAAAAAAAGAGGCCTGTTTTAAGAGATTATTGGCAGAAACATGCTGTAAGTTACACAGTTAGCTTTGCATTTGAAATTCCAATAATACAGCCTTCCAATAAAACAGGAATAATTTCTCTCTGCATATTTCTTTTATGGGGAGCTGATCCTCATACAGGATGCTTTGTACTATTCTAGAAAGAATAGAATGGGGCAGTCTGTAAACTCACAAGGGAGGCTGTGGAGTCAGGTAGCCTTGAGTGGCTCTCCCCTCCTGTTCATGCTTCCAAGCACCCTCACCTGCCTCCTTTTTGGAGCTTTGCCCAGCAGGAATACTGACCAAGTGCCTGCAGATATGCTGCCGTTTTAAAAGTCTGCTCTGCATCCAGAACCTGGTATTCTCCTCTCCAAAGGAAAGTTGAGCCTTTGCGTTTGAGACTGGAAGAATTTCAAGTTCTTAAGAAAACTTTAGAGCTAGAGACTAGGCAGAGAATAAAGTGATAATGCATTTGTTATTTGGTCAAGGTATAACTACAGCCCTGGTGGCCTACTGATAAATAGATGCATTGTCAACTCAAAGACACATGGTTTGAATCTACCAGTTGATCCATGGCAGAAAGATGGGCAAGCTCTTCCTGTATAATTTACAGCCTATGAAAACCACTGTTGAGTCAGCCATGGTTCTGACTTGATGCCACAAAACAACAGCAGCAGCATAACTTGAGAAACTTGGAGTTCAAGAATCCTCAGGGATGACTGACTTCCTTTCTATATAAATGCAAGTTGTAAATGGTTGATTGCTCAATTTTCAGTTCAGTTCAAAAGTTAGCTTTGAAATGACTTGTGAAGAGCAGAGCTTTGGAATTAAAAATATATATATGTTCCTTCTCTGATAGTTTCTAGTGCTAGTCAAGGAAAAACATGCCTCGCCTCTGAATTTTTCTTTTCATGATCTTACACACAAGTAAATGCTGACAAATCATACTGAGCATGATTGAATTTGAAATTTTTAGCGATTCTATATTAGCAAGTTCTTCTTGGCAGTTCTCTTTCATGATGTAAGTAGAACAATTGCTCTAATGTGACTGCTCTTCTCCTTTTAGGGAATGGCAATGCTCTGTGAAACAATAGAAGAATGTTGGGATCACGATGCAGAAGCCAGGTTATCAGCTGGCTGTGTAGGAGAAAGAATTACTCAGATGCAAAGACTAACAAACATCATCACCACAGAGGACATTGTAACAGTGGTGACAATGGTGACAAATGTTGACTTTCCTCCCAAAGAATCTAGTCTATGATGGTTGCATCATTCGCACACACTGAGATACAAGACTCTGAACTGGAGCTGCTAAGCTGACGAAACAGCTTACAGTTTCTTTTCTGTGTGAAATGAGTAGGATGTCTCTTGGAAATGTCAGAAGACCCTCATTTGAAAATGTGGCTCTGGGAGACCTACTTCATTGTTTGCAGCACAGATGTGAAGGACATGAGACAAAAGGAAAAGTTGGAAACTATAAAGAAACTTTTGAAAGTGTACGTGAAGAATGTGACCCTCTCTAAATCATAAGGATCTTTGGACCTGGCAAATGAGTGAAAATGGACATCAGATTTCTTAATGTCTGTCAGAAGACACTAATTCCTTAAATGAACTGCTATTTTTTTTAAAAAAATCAAAACTTTTCATTTCAGATTTTAAAAAGGGTAACTTGTTTTTATTGCATTTGCTGTTGTGTTTCTATAAATGACTATTGTAATGCCAATACGACACAGCTTGTGAATGTTTAGTGTGCTGCTGTTCTGTGTACATAAAGTCATCAGTGGGGTACAGTAAAGAGGCTTCCAAGCATTACTTTAACCTCCCTCAACAAGGTATACCTCAGTTCCACGGTTGCTAAATTATAAAATTGAAAACACTAAAATTTGAATAATAAATTGATCCATGTTTTGTAACAAGGTATTACAAATTCACTGTGTTATTTAAGGAAAAAAAAAGGTAAGCTACGCTTAGTGCCAACATTAAGTGGCTGTTCGTAAAGCAGTGTTTTAGCTTTTTGTGCTATCTTGTAATTTAAGAAAAAAAAGTGCTGTTTTTTGAAATGGAAAAAAAATGGTGTCATTTTCCCTTTCCCCCCTTTCTCCCACATTTTAAAGCTTCATCTTATATCCAGTTCCCAAAATATTGCATACTTACCTAAGTATATATATATTTTTAGGTGTGCTGTGTTTGGGGAATATTTGGAAATTTAAAGCATGATTTAATTTTTTTTTTTTAAAGTGAGCTGTGACACTGGAAAGCTCTTCATTTTTATTCTTTTAAAATAGATTTTACCTATTTATATATGTAAAATTGTAATGTGTTTCTTTTCACCAAACAGTGTGTGGGACATTCTTTATCACTGTTTTAGGATCACCTCAGGAAGTGTCATTACCCAGAATTCCTCACTCTCTGCTTTGAGACTTAAAACATTATACTATACTTCTGCTTGGTGCCATCTTGTCAGAGTAATATTTGATATCTGTGATATGTAAAGAATTATCCTAGGATAGAATTTTTGAATTGAAGCACAGATTTCAGATGTTGCTGCTTTAAAACAAATCAGGGATTAACAGTTAAATTTATGCAATGACATTTAGAGGTAACCATTGTTGATATAGACAACATAACCTAGCCTCTTCCCTAAAATTGCTTTTACAACTAACTCTGATATTAATTTAAGATAGTTTATGCCTTATCCTTGCTAAGAAAATGGAATTGATAGTAGGTAGGTGCCAAAGAGGTTTTGAAAACAGTATCTCATTAGAATATAATTGGATTCTTCCTCAAATTTATATAGAAATCATTAATTTCCTGAATCTCAAGATAACTGACCCAACAAATACCAGTATTATGCTGTATACTATTGTCAGGTCATTTCTAAATTCATACATTAATTTTATGAAATAATTTTTTACATGCCACTATCAGGATTGACTTGATGGCAATGGTTTGTTTATTTGTAAATCAGGAATTTCACTGTGAATGTTATCTTCAAATAGTTATTTAACCACAAAGTATAGTACACAGTACATTTTACATATGATGTGCACTTAATCTCTGGGAATTATAAATTCTGTTATTTATAGTAAGACAATAGGTTAACAGACTCTAAGCAGGGAGGGAAAGAAGGGTAATAGCATTGTTGTCTGTGTGCCACACACCATCACAGAATTGTCTGTGCTCTTGCTCGTATATGCATCCAAGGTTTCATTGTATCCTAAAATTCCACTTCACTGTTGAGTTTTCCTCTTCATTTCAAAAAGGACTTGGCTTCTTAATTTCTTGATTTTGTTTTCCTTCCATTTTTAAGCAAATCAAGAAGGGAACATATTGAGACATGTGTATACAGGAAAATGGTTCATCCCTTCAAGACCAGTTTCTATCTGTTGTAAGCATTTAACCCTTTTTTAAAATTAAAAGAAAAAATCAACATGAAAACAAGGGATATTACGATGTTTGGCTTGTGTGAGTTCTTAGAGGTAAATTTTATAAAACCAATTATTCACAATATAAAATATTTTTTCTTCGTGTTAGAAAATTTTTTTAGAAATCATTGGTATTGTACTTAACTCTAGCGAACCAGTTTTAAAACTTGTATCCTTTTGAGAACTATGTTAATAGAAAAATCCTTTTTATAAGCAGTAAAATAAGAATGTTCCAGTGACTACCTGTCCTGATATCTAGACTTGTCAAAACTTTCTTTTGCAGGGCATTTAGTGTTTGGTTTACAGTCTGTGCAGGGTGGGCAAGTTAAACAGTCTGTCCTAGGGATATGGAAAAAAACAAAAAGCTCACAAAGCGAGAAAAACCGTGACTTCTTTTTTTGGGGTAAATGGAGACCCCAGTTACTTCTCCTCATGTGTATGGTGCTCCTCACGATAAGTCTTTGTATTTTGCCTTTCTGATACCCATCACAACTGCTGCTCTAACTTACACTCTTTACCTTGCTTAGATCTTCGGGTGAGGACTGCTTTATGATCAACTGCCATAGGACTGATGGATTAACCAGTGTTGGGCTTTATTCGAAGTCTATGCCCTGCCACAGCTCTTGTATGTATTTTAGATGCTAGGATGTTTTTAGCATGTGATGTGTGATTCTTGTTTGGATGTTTATTACAGGTACCTTATGAATTCCAGAACAGAGACTGTGCCTCAAAATTGTTGGTCCCCATGAGCTGGCTGTCTTTTCATGGTGACATTTTGAAAATGAAATCAGGAAAAAATAACCCTACACCTTGGGAATTTAAAGATAGAATCATGTTAGGAAAATTTAAAATCTCTGCCCTTTCCTCATCCTTTCGTACCATCTACATTTAAGTAAAATGCAAGTGATTGGGGGAAAACCCTGGGTAGATGGTAATTTAGCGGATTAAACTGATTACTACTATGAGGGAGGGGGAAGCTTTGCCACAGATATTTTCCAGTTTCTCTTTTTTACCTTTTTTAAAAATTACTTTTTAGGAACATTTGGTATTATGTGCATAAATTTACTGATTTTGGGCAAAATGATACAAGTAGCATATTGATTGAACATCATTTACCTCAGATACTCAACCAGCAGTACGTTTTTTATGCAGTCTCAACCCATATCCGATTTGTTACCTCTCAAGATATTGGTAAGCAGTTATTTTAGCTTTACTCTGTATTTCTTGTCAGTGTTTTGGGCACAGGTTGTTGTACTACTGTCAAATCGTACTTGCTATTTTTTTCCTGCAAGTATTTAATGAAAAGCTTAAAAAAGACTCATAAAACCCCACCTTGAATAAGTGATTGTTAAATATTGTACAAATAAAGTGTATGCTATCCCCATTCCACCCCCGAGTTAAATAATAAAAAAAATGAATATGGTATGATTTGCATATGCAGTTTTTCTTTAGCTCTTATGGTTTTAAGCAGTAACAGTAGTGTTGTGATTCATAGTGAGGTGCACATGTAGAGAATGGGGTGGTGGGCAAAGAAGGAAGTTTAGTCATGGAACTGCCCTTCTTTGTAGACTAGATGGGTTGTATTCCCATTGAAGTTTATGTAGTTCCTCTCAGTTGTAGGAAGCAAAAAATTACCTTTTTTTTTTATATTGGAAATGAAAAATGTGACTTAGGAAATAACTATAAAAAGTACAAAATGCTTAACAGCTAAAGGGTAAAATGCGTTTTCTTTTTATTTGCACATAGAAAGAGGAAAGCTAATTTTCATTTAAATATTTAAAAGTTGTAAAGACTACCAAGTGATTTTCGAGGAAAATAGGGATGAAAAAACTCCTGAAATTCATAGCATTTCTCAGTTTTCTTAGAACTTATGGTGGTGATAAATAGTGTAGGGAGCTCTGGTGGCCCAGTGGTTCCAACTTGATAACACATTAATGAACAAAGCTTATAATTTGTGAATAAAATTATTTACAGATTATATGCAAGAATGGGGATGGGGATCACAGAAAGGACTTTGGACTAGAAAGCATCACAGGTTCCTTTACTAACATAACCTAAATGCTGCCTGAAATTAAATGTGACCAATGGTGGAATCCAAATGAAATTGCTACAGAAAAGTTGGAATTGTTTTCCTTCAAGTGTTTTGTAACACAGATTCTTCAGGAATAGTATAGAATAGATGTTATAAATTTTAAAAAAATTAAGTTTGGAACAAACAGGATTAAATTGCTGAGCCTTTTACACTTATGTGCATGTACATCTGGGAGCCTTTTTCTCCTTTAAAATAAGATTCTGGTTTTGGTGAGCCATCTGAAGATAGCATGTGAGGAAAAATGTTTAAGTGATTAAGTCCTTTTCTTCACCTGCTTGGGTGGTTGGTTTTGTTGGTGAAAACATGGATTTCTCTTAGTGCTGAAGAAATGATCTTTTAGCTGTGTTTGGAGGTTTACATTCTAGGAAGTTTTCACTAGGGCATTTCAGTTTTGGTTTTAGCGATGGTTTAATCAATTTTAAATAATGTTGCACATAAGAATATAGCAAGGCAGATATAAAACAACCCTCCCAAATGCTCTCTTGCCAAATATAGGTATCTCTTTTCTTCGTGTGATTTTTGGCAAACTTTTTTTAATAAAAATTTCATTTTATACTGGTTTACTTACAAAATTCGTACACATTGTTTTACATACCGGATCTTTCACATTTCCTTGACCCACTCCTTCCCGCACCCATCAAATTGTGCAACTCTATGATTAACACATGTGATATCACCTCCCCCAGTCCTCACTCCTCTGCTCTCATTCCCCCTGTTGGGTCCTCATATACTTTCTACAATATTGGTCTTATACAGTGTTTGTCCTTATGGACCTGAGTTAGTTCACTTAGAATTATGCTCTCCAGTCCCTCCCAAGTTAGATGGTAATTTATAAAATCATTGCTCCTGTGTGCTGCATAGTATTCCATTGTGTGAATGTACCATAATTTCTTCTTTGTGGTTGGACATGTGGGCTGTTTCCATGTTCTTGCTAGGGTGAATAATGCTGCTGTGACCATTGATGTACAAGTCCCCGTTTGTGCCTCAGTTTTTTTTTTTTGGGGGGGGTGGGTATTCCAAGCAGTGGGGTAGCTGGGCCATGTGGAATGTCTATGTTCATCTTGTTGAGGAAATGCCAAACTGCCTTTCAGAGTGGTTTTACTATTTTAGACACACCAGTATTGTCTGAGTTCCTATGTCCCACATCCTTTCCATCTCTAACATTCATTACTTGCTGTCTTTGCCTCCCTAAACTTAGCTTGTTAACTTTTTCATTTTTACTTAATTACTGAAAATGAAAACCCACCTTTTTATTAAAGTCTTTATATCTGGATGTTGATGTGTCTTATGTAAGTAGTTCTTATGGAGTCAGGTAGGGGCCTTTTAGTAGCATCTTTAGTTAATAGAAATATGAAACACTTAAGTAGTTCCATAAGTGTTAACCCTTTAATGCAGGCAATATGAAAGGAATTTTTAAAAGGGACAGTAATATTGTCAATGGTGAAATCCCTGACAAAAAATTAATGGGATACTGGTGAAGAGTAAATGAGTGCTCTTCAGACTGAGAAGTGTAATTCCCCCCGCCCCACAAGAGGAGGAAAGAGGACATATGCAAAACATTAAGTTGTAACTCCTTAAGTAGTTTATGCAAATAAATCTTTCTTAGTTTAAAAACTACTCAGGAGCCCACTGCCTTCTAATGGAACCTGGCAGCCCATTGCTGCACTGTGTCAATACATCTTGTTGAAAAGCTGTTTAAGCTGTCCTTCCACCTTTCTATGTATGATGCCTGTGTCCAAGGAACAGACTTTCCTAGCAGCATTCCCAAAGATTGCAAGACAAAGCTTGACCAACCTTCCAACCAAGGAGCACTCTAGCTGCATTTTTCTCCAAGATACATAGAGTCCTCCTTTCTAGCACCACATCAAAAGCATCAATTCATCTCCTCTCATCCTTATACACTGTCCAGCTCCAATACATAGTGATGAAAAAGATCTGAATCACATCCTTTTTTTTAGTGACCTGATGCTCCTCAATAATTAGAAGAGGTTCTTGACTGTAGGCTTTCCCAGTGCAATACGTCTCCTGACTGCTGGAACCAAGTGTGTGGATTGTGGATCCAGGTAAGATGAAAGTTGACAAATCTCCATTTATCATGATGATGCCTATCAGTACAGTGTTGCAAATTTTTGTTAAGGTGCAATCTATATTAAAGGCTGTAGTCTTTGATGTTCTGCAACAAACAAAGTCCTTTTCACTTTGAGAAAGCAAAGTTGTGTGATCTGCATTAACACAGGTTGTTAGAAGTCTACCAATCCTGAGGCCACATTCTTTTTCATAGTGTCCAGCTACTCCAATGATTGGTTCAGCATACAAATTGAATAGATATGGATAGAGGATACACAGACTTTTCTTAAATTTACACCATCTTGTGTTCCCTAGCTGTTTATACCACCACCTCTTGGTTTAGGTGTAGGTTTTGCATGAGCATAATTAGATGTTCTAGGATTTTCATACTTTTCAGTGTTAGCCATAATTTATTATGTTCCACAGGGATATACGCCTTTGCATAGTCAATGAAGCACATAAGTAGACAGTCTTCTGGTATTTACTTTCAACCTGGACCCAAGTGACATCAATATCCCTGGTGCCATGGCCCACTTAAGTCCCACTTAAACTTCTGGCATTATCTATGTGCTGTTTTGGATGTTTGGGGAGTGATCTTCAACATTTTGCTTACTTGTGAGGTTGATAGTATTGTTTGATAATTTCCACCTTCTGCAGGATCATCTTTCTTTGAGAATGGAAATGGATACTAAATATGGATGTCTTCCAGTCAGCTGGCCAAACAGCTGTCCTCCAAATTTCTTGGCATAGACAAGTGAGACCATCTTGGGCTCATCTGTTAGGTGAAACATGTTAATTGGCATCTCATCAATTCCTTGGGCTTTATATTTTGCCAATGTCTTCTATTAGCTTGAACTTTTTCATTACCATTGGTTCTTGATCATATATAAGGTGCTTCCTGAAAATACTTCAGTGTTGGCCAGTTGTTTTGGTATAGTGACTCTGTATTCTCTCCATATTCTTCTTGCAATCAATTAAGATTTTTGCCCATAGTATTGTATTGCAACTTGAAGCTTGAATTTTTCAGTTCTTTGGGCTTGAGAAATGCTCAGCGAGTTTTCCCCTTTTTATTCAGTTCCAGCTCCCAGCACACCCAGTTATACTACTTTGCTTTATCTTCTCAAGCTCTCCTTTGAAATCTTGTGTTAACTTTCACTTCAACATCTCTTTCTGTTTTGGCTTGCATGCAGTTTGCAGTCTCCATTTTGGTGTTTGCTTTATCCTTTGTCTTAGTAATTACTTTTTGCTCTTCTCAGATGATACCCTTGTGATTATCCCACAGCTCATCTCGTCTTCGATCTTTGGCGTTCAGTGTTTAAAACTTATTCTTAGGTATTTTTTAAACTTAGGTGGAATAGACTCAAGCTTATTATTTTGGTTCTGTGGACTTGTCTTAAATCTTCTCTGGCCTCAATTTGAACTTGCACATGAAGTACTTGATGGTCTATTCCACATCAGCACCTGGCCTGATTTTGAGTTTCTCCAACGATTTGTTCCACAGATAGTCATTCTGATTCCTATGCAGTCCATCTCATGAGGGCCATGCGTAAAGTCATCATTTGTGTTTTTAAAAAAGGTATTTGCAATGACTAATTGTAGCAAATTCTATTTCTGGCAGGCCTCATTTCTGTCTACTTTCTACCCTTCCTTCTTCATGGTTTCCAACTTTTCCAGTCACCAGTTAATCACATCATGATTCCATGCTTAATCAGTTTCGTACTGTAAAATTTGGTAAGAGTCTTTTAATTAGTTCACCTTTAGCTTTTGCTGGTGGTGGTTATTTTTGAGCAGTAGTTCTATTAACAAGTCTTCCTTTATGCATATGGATCTATCACTCCCAACATTGTACTTCAGTATAGAACTTGAAATTGTCTTTTTAACCATGAACGCAACACCATTCTTCTGTTTTTTTCACTCCTTGCATAGTGTATTGTGTTTAATACGAAGTGGCAGTGCCAGTTATCTCATCAATGCCTAGAATGTTTATGTTCATGTTCATGTATTTAATTTTACACAACTTTTCCTACATTCATACTTCATATATTCCACATACCAACTTTAATAATTCTTAAAGACTGTAGCCAGTAAAATTCTAATTTATTCTCCAACCTAGTAAGGATGATGAATCAGAATTGCTAGCAATAGACAACCAAATAATTGTCAGTTTTGGTTTTCTAGGAATTTTCTGTAAGTGATTCTTTTGGTCTGAAGTATAGTTTTAGGAATATTGATTTAAAAAAAAATCACAGAGGGATTCAAATATAGATATTATGAGTACCACATTCTCAGAAACCTGAAGAAAATGCTTAAACTTCTTGGTGGCTCACTGGCCAGACCAGAGAATTAAAAGAGCTGGGTTAGAATAAAAATTTCCACGTGTCCATACCTCCTGTCTGGCCCAAAAGAGTGACCACACTGTTTCTTTACTATTTGTGCTGTGAGGCTGACATGAACTCTCCTCAAGTATAACACAAATAATTCAGAATTTAATAAAAAGTCCAATCCTTAATTTTATTTTTTGAACATAAACATACTCTAAATCAATATTGGAAGTATAAATCATGCAACAGTGCATATATCCAAAAACAAGACACAGTCAAGATTCTCATATGTGCTGCAATCTCTCACAAGTACAAAAATACATACTTTTTATAAATACAAGAAAATGTAGTAACATTATCTTTTCAAAGACAATAACAGCTTTGTAGTTCTTCAGAAGCAAGAATAGGACTCCAATACTTAAGTCCTCGGTTAATATTCATAACCAGCTTAGGGAGGAGGTTGCCCACTGCCTAACATCTGTCAGACAGTTGGGGTATTTCTGGAGAGCATTCATAATTTGAGTATTATCCAAAAGCAGTTTCATCAGCTGGTATTCTCTCTGTGCATTTACTGATGGTCTTTCCATGGGCTTTATTAATTCTAGCTGCTGTAGGTGTTCAAAAGCCTGAAAGACAAAGAAACAGTAAAGCAAATAAATGGAAAAGTAACAAACCCAGAGAAGGTTTGGGTCAGCTGGTAATAAATTGCTAGGAAATTAATTTTTTTTTACTAAAAATCACTAGAGTTCCAAAAGAACTTCCATCACCTTCATAAAAATGTAGTACTTCAAGTATATTTGTGCCTATGATGTTGACTGTAATGAGAATGAACTTTAAACACAATACGGCTTTTGTTTCCAAGCACATTTCATACCCTATTTACTACTAGTATTTCAGGTAATGAAGAAGTTTGAGTTCTCTGGAAAAATTTTAGAATTTAGTAATAAAACTCTGTAATCAGTTATTTAATGTTAGGCATCATTAGGTAAATGAGAAGTCGTAACAATTCTATGGACAACTGATCATAGCCTTACCCTACCTATCCTTTGTCACCTCCACAATCTCTGCTATACATGGTCAGTCCCACTGTTACAGTCACCGTCTCAATCCATCTTCTTGAAGTTTATTAAAATTGCAATGTTTAACAGCTTCAGCAAAAGAAGAGGCAGAAAAATCCTTAGAAATAACCCTTTATCTCAGATGGCCATGAAAGCAAATGATTCCACAGGGTTTTATGGGTCCTCAGGAGAGGGCACAGAAAGGTCTTTAAGAAACTTGGCTGTGACTGTCAGAAACTCCTCATCCTTCTTTAATAGGGCTCATTCTTGTCTGTTCCTGTTTATCACTCATATTCATGTGGTGTGTCTCCTAAACTTAATTGTTATAGGCATAAAAATAGTAAAATCTACATGAACATATTGAAACACTAAAAATATTAGTAGATTCCCAAAGACTTATTATTGCTTCATTGTGAAAATTACCACTGGGATATATTTCATCTATGAAAACTGAAAAAACCCTGGAAACTTAAGGTATTGGGCTGAATGATGCTGTTGTGAGATGCCTGCCAGTAGACCATGGCTCACAGCGACCCTATGAACAACCTGCACTGTCCTCACCATCTCATATATTCAAGCTCACTGTTGCAGTTAATGTCAGGACCTATACAGCATCATGTCCTTTTCCAAGGACGGGCCCATCCTGATAATATACCCAAAGTATGTGACAGGAAGTTTCATTATCTTTGCCTCTAAGGAGCACCATGGTTGCACCTCTCCCAAGAAATGGAACACCTGTTCCTTTGGCTTTCCACGGGATATTCAGTTCTTTCTCCAACATCAAAATTAAAGGCATATGGAATTTAAAAAATAATACTGAGTAGATAAAATGTTTCTAAGTTGCAAAATCCTTTCTTCATGAAAATGTAGGAATTACCAACTTCAAACTCTTAAGAATTTAAATGCCTTTCCACTCTTAAAAATCCCACAAACTGGCCTTGGTTATTTATGATAGAGGAAGACAGATCTAGTATCCATTTCCTGTTTGCATTGAGAAATGGCAATAGGATATATTAGATTTTTGTCTACCTACAAGAAATGAAACTTTGGACCATCAGGGGCTGTAAGGACTGCTCTGTTCCTAAAAAAAGCACCGCTCACCAACTCCCTTCAGCATTGTCTGTCTGACAAGCAGCCACTAACCACGCTCACTCTGATAGCACAGTCTTCAAGCACAGGCTCTGGTAGTAGAGCTTCTCATGTCACAGCCTTGGGAACCAGATCAGAATCAGATGTGACTCAACAACAGTGACTTTCAGCAACACAACTTGAAAAGTGGTTAATGTGACAATGGGGCTGCATTTTAAATTTTATTCACCGTAAAATCTGTTAAGGGAGCTCTGGTAAGGTAGTGTACAGGGAGTTGTGCTGCTAACCCAAAGACGGCTCCTCTCTGGTGTTTCAAATCCACCAGTGGCTCTACACAAGAAAGACGGGAAATCTATGCAAAACCCACAGGTAAATAAGATGAGAGTTGGTTCAAGACAGCAATGAGTTAAGAGCTTAAAATCCGGTACTTGATTAATTTTTGGTTTACAACAGTATGTTATTACTTACTGTTGAACTGGAACTCCTAGCTGACCCTCCACAGGGTTCCCTTTTGCTTGGTAGTGTAACTCTTCATCACTAGGCTACCAGAGTGCCCTGAGAGCAGCATATGAGTGTAAAATCAAATTTTTCATCTATAAGTTTTAATGGAGTAAGGTATGGCCAATGAATGTCACTGTTGATTGCCTTCAGGTTGAGCATGACTCATAGCGACCCTATAAACAAAAGGCTTGAAGCCCCTCTACATCCATCAACATTTATCAAAGTTCATAGAGTATCCAGAGGCATGTTATTTAGGAAGTGGATGCCACTCTTAAAATGTGTCTGTCAAAACAACAAATAAATGCCGCTTGGTGAAAGTGCAACTAGGATGCTCCTTAGAGGTAAGGATGGCTTCTCAGGAAATGCTCTTTTTTGGAAAAGGACATTATGCATGGAAAGGTGCAGAGTCAGCAAAAGAGAGAAAGACCCTCCCTCTACAAGATGGAGGGACATGGTGACTGTAATAGTGGACTCAAGTGTATCAGAGATGAGGAGGATGGCTCAGGACACTGTCGGGCAGGGAACAGACCTGCTGTTCATAGAGTCGCTATGGGCTGTACTTGATTCAATGGCACCTTACAATAACATAAGTATAAAATATGCACCAAATATCAGGGTTAATACTACCAAGGAAAAATGCAATATACTCAATTTTCAGTTACTGATTATATAATAAAAGTATTATAGATTTACCAGTTTTCTTTGTTTAGCCTAGAGTTTTAAAAATTAATGACTCATCTTCATCAACATAATCTCTCAAATAAAATGTTCTACAATCTAATGATATTTTGTCCTTTACTCTCTTCATGACTCTTATGTGCATGCTGGCCTCTCTTTGCTGCTGAGATGATAAAAGTTACTCCTTGCATATATACAAAGTACATTTTTTGCCAGCTTTTGGGAGCCTTTTCAGGATGCAAGTGCTTTGAACAGACAGCAGAGGGCAGTATACTACCACAACGTTAAGAATTGCTGATTTCATCAAACATTTTTAGATCATACAGATTTTTATGGGAAAAATAATTCTATGATAAAAAATTTTAAAATTAGCAAAAGAGAAACATCTACATATAAAATAGAGAGTAAAAATATACCTGTCTGCAGAAAAAAGAGGAGAAAACTCAATCATACCTTCATGACAACAGGTTTCTCAAAATTATAAATAGAATGAGCCTTCCTTTGAACAAACTTCTGAAATTCTAGGGAGAAAGCAATTGACAACATTAATACCTTCAAATAAGAAGTGGGGGATGGAGGTAAACCAGAAAATGTACGGAAGTCTCATCTCACCATTATAGACCATTTGAAAATTAAAGGGTTCCTCTTCATAGATATCATTTAAATGTTTCATGGCTATTATAAGACAAATTTCCAGAACGGACAAACCTATAGTAAAAGGAACCACATCAGGTGCTGCAGTTTACTGAGTGACACAGAACACTGAAATAAACATTATAATATGGTGAAGGATGCTGCTTTTCAGGGTTAGGTGGTGATGAAGCCCCAGGTTCAAATGTTATTTCAGTCACTACTGTTACGCAAGTGACCTAAACTGTCAGAGCTTAGTGTTCATACATACAAAACAGGGACAGTCCTAAATGTAGAAAAATGTGACAAGAATTAGAGACAGAATTACCATGCATTCACCATATGTCCTACAATAACAGCAATTATTACATGATTTTTAATTGCTTAAGATTTAGTAAGAGAATACCCAAAGCCCTAGGAAATTTAATAAACTGAATATTTTTCTCCCTAGAGAGAAGGATTATTAGATTTTTGAAATAGATAGTGAGCCCTGGTTGAACAACAATGCTTTTCAGTAACATTTAGTATAAATGGTATCAACCATCACTATCAGATCTGAACTTCCAAAAGTGCAAGGGGGTAGATAATTTTTTCCTTTCAAGGGGAAGGATACTTTGAAGGACTAAGAGCTGCATGAAATTATAGACGTAAGTTATACATAAAGCATTATTCCCAGATTTAATGGATTTTAAGAATTATTCCACCAAGTTCCTGTGTCTAAAGTCCACAATTACACACAAATGCAATAGCAGCTTCTCACCATGAACAATGTTTGCTTTAGAGTCCATGCTACACAGCTGACTGGCCTCGATCAAATCCGTTGCAGTCACAAATGGGTGTGTTGTTGTTACACGATTTAAAGCAAGCATCTAAGGAAATGAGATCAGAAAAGCAATTCTGTATTTACGTGGGTTATTTGGAGATGTAACTGAACAAAACTTAAGTTTGAAGAGTCTGTTCTCTTCAAAGGCTACTTGCTACTGTTTGGGAAAAAGCATTCTCAACTTTATTAGTATTATTTTCGTTCACATGTCACATACCTGTAATTTTTTTTTAAAACCATTTAAAAGTTTTTAATGCACACGACAGTTCTAATTTGTTGTTTTAAGTCCAGTTGAGTTGGAACTGTCTTATAGTTGACCCTCCAGTGGGTTTTCAGAGGCTGTAAACTGCACAGAAGGATATACTGCCCATCTTTCGCCAGTGGAACGGCTGGTAGACCTGAACCACCTGCCTCTGTGTTGGCACTGCAGTTCCTTACACAACAGGCACCAGAGTGCCCTTGTTTTTTTATTTAGAAATTCTCAAAACAACAAAATATCTACGAGTACAGCAAGGAGTAGATATTAAAGAGAAATAAAGTACTAATCAAATCTCTGGACAGAAAAAAGGCAGATCTATGCATTGTTTGAAATGCTTTTTTGGTACTTATTAACTTCTACTACTCTACTGGGTGCAAGTCCGCATTCGGCTACTGACCTCAAAGGTGGTTGTTCAAGTCCAACCAGAGTTGGCCTCTTCATGAGTTTGGAATGACAGCCGTTGATTTTGCTGTTCTATTATTCCTCCCAGCCAGTACAGATAAAACAAGATGATTTTACAAAAGAACCGAGATAAATTATTACAGACTGATTATCAGGAAGATTAGTATCAGGATATAGTCATGTAAACAGGAATCAAATGAAGTATTGCAGTGGGGACATCTGCAAATGTATTTTAAAGGTAAAAGGTATTTATATAAAGGCCAAGCTCTCTTTAAAGTATTAAAGACAAGAATGTTCTTTAAAGACTGCAGTGCACTCAATCCTTCCCTGATACTCTGATCTGCCTCATGTATGTGAAAGCTGGACAGTGACTAAGACAGACAGAAGAAAAACTGATGTCTTTTTTGGCTAAGAATCTGGATTCTACCATGGTACGTCAGAAGACCAAATAAATCTTGTCTTTCAGAAGTAGAGACAGATGTTCCTTAAAGCTGTGGATGGTGAAACCTCATCGTTGACACTCTGGGCATGTTAACAGGAGGAATCATTTCCTGGAGAAAGAGACAAGCTTAGAAATGTAAAAGGTCAAAAAAAAAAAAAAAAAGAAAAGAAATGTAAAAGGTCATCGAAAGAGGAAGCCACTCAGTGAGAAGGATGGGTTTCAGAAGAAACTGTAAGAATGACGCGGGATTGAGCAGTGTTTCATCTGCTTGTCCATGGTATTCATGAAGTCAGAACGCAGTTGAAGGCACTACAGAATGATGATGAAATTTTAGAAATCTTTGAAATTCTTACTTCACAACTCATGCACTATGTGTCAGATGTACCTCTTGTTTTTGTAAAAAAACTGATAAGCAGCTTTCTAGTCTTTTTTTATTTCAGCCAAAATCCATCTGACTTTGGCAATACTGTCTGTTCCCTGTCCTCTTCTGAATCCAGCTTGAATTTCTGGAAAATATGCAATCAGCAATTTTTAAATTAACTTCAGCAAGATTTTGTTTGTGATTATTAATGATACTGTTCTAGAATTTCTGTAAACTATTAGACAGCTTTTATTTTGAATCAGCACAAGTTCTCTTCCAGTTGTCCAGGTACCTCTCTTTCAAGATTCCTGGCAAAGATGAAATCAGTATGTCCAGTACAGCACCTGTTTGTTAAAACATCTCAATTGGAATACATCAGTTCCTTAAGTCTTATTACGCCATTTCCTACACACACACACACACATACACATACATACATACATACATACATACATACATACATACATACATAATGACTTACTCCATCTTTAAAGGCTTCCTGCATCAGTCAGTATTTTGCCCCCAGAATATTTCACTCTTAAAAGCTGAGGCTTAAACTTTTTCTTTTGGCTTAAAATATACTCAATTCATGTTATTCCTTTTTGGTTTCTCAGCCATAAGTCTCTGCACATTTTATTGTATTTTCCTTTGTCTTTCCAAACTCTTCTATTCAGCTTACTTCAGCATTTCTTCTACTTGCTGTAGCTTCTCTCTGTTCAATTGCTCAGTGTCTCTTCTGACATCTACTTTGCTCTTTCCCATCTGCCTTTTTAGTGTCCATTTGTTTTTTTTCATGTATGAATGTTTCTGATGTCACTCTATAATTTGTCTGATCTTTGTTGATTAGTTTGATGTACCAATCTATTCTTGAGATAGTTCCTAAATTCAAGTGGAATATATTTAAAGTCCTTTTTAGGATCTCTTGGACTTGTTTTCATTTTGCTAAACTTCAGTTTGAACTTTCATTTTAGCAAGACAACAGCAAACTTCCTGGCCTTATTCTGAATGCTAGTAAGCTTCTCCACTGCATTTTTCCATAGATGTATTTCTACAGATCAATTTTTTCCCCTGTTGGGTCCCATCCAGTGAGGTACATGAGTAAACCTGCCATTTGTTTTTTTAAAAAGGCATTAATCATGAATAAACTGTTAGTCATACAAATGCCTATTGTGTGATCTTAGGCCTCAATTTTATTAAGTAAGCACCCAACCATACAATCACAAATCTGTCTTCATTTCCAGCTCTTGCTTTCCCATGACCAGTTATTATTATTGCATATTGAAGAATTGTTTGATCTATTTGTCTTTAGAGATTTGTGTACACATTCGAATGCCTGTCTTTTATGAGGTTTCCCATGGGTATATATGGGTATTATCCCAACACTGACATTGCTGTACTTCAGGACAGACTTTGGAATTCTTTTAGACAGTAAGTGTGAAGACATTCCTCTTTTAGTCTGTTATTCTTGGCATAGTACACAATGACTGCGTGATTCAAACTGGACATACTAACACATTTCAGTAGACACATACCTAGAACACTGACCTGTTTGTGTTCCATTTTATTTAGAGTAACTATATATATATCATGACCCCTGAGACATAATGCTTTCAACTGCTGTTAACACGTTTGATCCTGACTAATGTGTGACCCCATGTGTCACAGAACAGAACTGCTCCACAGGGTTTTCTCAGACCTTTCTTCTGAGGAGGTGCTGGGTGGTTCTGAACACCAGCCTCTGGCCAGAAGCCAATCACTAATTACTTACACCATGTATATTCCTTAAATATATACACAGTAATCCTCTACATAACATAAGCTAATAAATAAAACCTGTTATGTAACTAAGAACTCTACTCTAAAAATGTTTAATCCCCAAATTCCTTCATTATAAAGACAGCTGATAGCAAAAATGGCATGTGCAAGTGACTGCTTAGAGGGAGATGAGCTAATGAGAGGAAGTGTCTACAGCAAGGAAACAAATTACATTTACTCCATAAAAACACAAGTGTGGGGAATTAAAAACAATGCAAAACGAAATGGAAGAACCATGTAACAAATATTCACAAGCTTTGAAGTCAGAGATCGTTAGATGTGCGACCCTAAGCAAGTTATTTAAACTTGTTTTTGAAAAAAACAAAAAAACAAAAAACAAAACCCTCCATTTTTCAAAGGCAAAGACAAAAGCACTAAGGACAAACCTCAGGACTACTCTTAATGGGCAGCCGGGGTGGCATGCTCCATAGGGAATTGTCCTGCAAACCCAAAGGCCGTCTCTTTGACAGTTCAAATCTACCAGCAGTTCTGTGGGAGAAAGTGGGTCATTCTCCTCTCCTGTGCAAATCACATCCTCAGAAAACCAAACAAGAGTCAGCTATGAGTTGGTTCTGACTTGACAGCAATGCATACTGTGAGGATCAAAAACTGCATAAAGTCACTACATTACCTAGCTCCTGTGCTATTCCATAGTCAGTAATAAGAAATTTCTGAACCCAAAACAGTCTCTTATTTAAAGGTATTTTACATGGGTCAGTATTAGCCAATTATTAAATACTTAATTAGTAAAGGAAGTTCTTGAATTTTCAAAAGTTATGTTCCTCTAAAGACTGCTATTCATTAAGTTTAAAATATTAACTATTTGATCAAAGACAAAGAAACAAGTGAGATTTAGCTCAGGTATACAAAGCTGGGTGAATGAAACAATCAGTCTTGTACATTGTAAAAACAGTTTTAAGAAGGAAAATAATTATATAAAAAATACAGATTAAGATCTGATGAAAAGTATACAACAAATCATGCTAAACACAAGTTAGGAGGGCTACCTCAACTTGATTATGAGTATACATTTAAAAAAACTTAGCCAACATTTTAAAAAATAAAACCAATATATTTAACAGTGAAAGACTAAATATTTTGCTATAAGATAAAGAATAAGGTAATGTGTGTCCATTATGTTTTTTTTCAAAACTGTGTTGGAAATTCTAGCCACTACAATAAGGTAAGCCAAAGATATAGAAGGTATCCATATCAGAAAGCAAGCAAGCAGCCATTGTGTGCAGACTGGAGTACATACATAGTAAATGCCCAGAAATACACTAAAAAAGGCTCTAGGCACTAGTAAATTTAGCAAAAAATCACAGAATGCAATTTCAACCCATAAAAATCAGTCACATTTCTTAATACTAACAATGAGGGTGAAAAAATGAAAATTTAAAGCAAAATACAATTAATATAACAAATTAGTATAATAAATTAGTATAATCACCAAGAGAAAGAGAATGACAAAAATAACATGAATACAAACCAACAGCATGTGTAATGATCGCAGGCTTTTGTTGATATTGAAATGCTTCTGTAGTACTTCTCGTATACTGCTATCATCTGAGAGACTCTAAAGAGGGGGGGATAAATCAAAACAGAAATAAGGAAGAAGGCAGTTTAAAACCTAAATATAATCTTGTGCCCCATGAGTTCCATATGGAATTAATTATTAATAAGGTGTTGGTTTTTTTACAGAACTAAAATAAAAATCAAATTTCCAGTTCAGCTATTTTCTTTTTATCCATTAAATTATTTCAAACACTCCTACACTAAGAAGGAAAACTAGTCATGCTAGTGGGATGAACAAAATGAAGCACAACACACAAAAGAGAATGAGTGTTACTAAGAGAAGTAAGTTAACATATGGATAAAAACTGTCTTAATGTTTTCCACTGTAGGAAGATCTAGAACCAGGATTGGGATAAACGTTCACGTTTTCAAAGTATATCATCCTAGTTATCATTCCCACTCTGTTACTGTCTATTATTGTCTGCTATTGTCTTCCCTTTCTATTTTAAAGAGTGTACTGGAACCATATATACTTTTTCTTCATAAACTGAGTCAAATATGACACTAAGCACTATGAATACAAAAGAATACAAATTAACTCAATGAAACCTTTTAGAAAAATTTTTTAAAAATTTAGCTATTCTATCGTTTTCAATTCAGTGTGTTAAATTTAAGAAACAAGTGGTTAAATGCCACAGATAAAATGAATTCTTGGCTCCTGGAAACAAACCTGCAAAATCTTTCTTCTTACATATTTTAATTCTGCCTTGATGCAAACTCTAGAAATAATTATAGGATAAAGCTGTTATTAATAACTAGTCATTTCATACCTATTAATAATAAACTATGATAGTCACGAGGACACGAGATCTTAAACTGTGAAAAAGTACTGACTTTCAGATCACTCTACCTTGTGAACTCTCTTATATTTGGCTGCAGCCAAATATAAGGAAAATAAGACCAGATTGACTGGCTGGTACTACTCTTTACAGAACCATGGAGAACTCCCAGGAATGGGATACTCTTCCCTTTTATTTAGGGAATATTTTCTTTTCACACATTAGCACATAAGTAGTAGCTGAGAGGCAAGTTCTTATTATGTTTCATTTGGTCAGACAGCAGAAGTTCTCTTCATATCCTAAACAGTATGTTACAGGATCATTTTGGTACCCTAAAACTCATTTTCAAAGATTACTAGGTGGCAATTATAAATTAGTTTTCTAATGAGTTCTTGCTTTCTATTAACTAACCAAGGATTTGAAGACAGTAAATAAACTTCCTTGGGGTTTCTTTCGAGAAGAATTAGAGATGGTTCCCTTTTCAGAGAGTCTTATTCAGAGATTTCTCTCTATTGCTAAGCTGAGCCCAAAAGACTAATCAATTGCTTATTTGGGTAAGGCTAAACAAATAGTCAATTCTGGAAGGAAGTAAGTTCAACCCTATCCTAAAGATCCATTTCCTCCCTCCAGAATATGAGATAAGTTTTTGGATGAGTTTCCACTGATGAGAAAATAAAAGTATAAATAAAATACACAAGGCTTAGAGTTTAAGTCTGCAGTAAAACCAACTTACTACATAGTCAGCACTGTAAGTAAAAGCAACTTGTATGAGGGAGGACCCCACCCAAACCATGGCCTCTGACCATGGTGCTGACAAATTTTTTTAAAAAGCTATTTATTAGTATACCAAAAGGGTGTGTAAAACCAAACACCAGGGGACTGAGTAAAATTTTTAACGTAAGACACAAAGAGACCTAAAGGACCAGTAAAATGATGACAGGGCAGTGCTCACATTCATTTCTATCACTTATCCACCGATCTGGGAATATGGGTCTGCACAAGAGCACAGGAAACCAAAAATCATTTATCTAACTACATATGGCTACCAGTGTTGGATCCACCTAACATCACTCATCCCAAGTGATTATTTTTTAAAGGAAATTTTTAAATTTTTAAAAATTTTTAAAGGAATTACTAAAATTCAACATGACTGGGGAGAAAGGAAAGATATATAATGGCACAGTGCAACCTGGGATGTTATCTTATGTTGAGTCTCCTTATGATAAGTCAGTGCCAGGATGGAGATAATAAGTGAGAGAGAGGCATTTAAATACCATACCTTTAAATACCATGCTTTAAATCTTTACAACAGACAAGAGTTGGAACAAGAGTCCAGAAGCTGCTAAAGGTGAATGTGTATAAAGCTTTGAGAAATGAGCACAGAGATTGAACACACATTCCTATTCTAGAGATCTGGGTCCAGTAACCATGAAGAAAGCACTTCTGTGGAATGAAATTCTACGGTTAGTTGGAGATCAAAGAAAACGTGTGTGACCTAGTAAAATAGCTGAGTTCTAGGCAAGATTAATTTGGGAAGTGGGTGAAAGGAGATATCATAGTATAGTATCTGAAGTTAAAAGTTTGCCGTTTATAGAAGAACTAGGAATTAGAAACTAAACTGAACTAAAACTGAGTAGTATTATAAGGTGTGAAGTCTACATAAAATCAACTTACTATGTAGTCTAAAATGCTATTTCCCAAGTAATTACTGCAGAAAAAAGTAGAGCAGGCATGAATCCAAGGCAATTTCCCTTGCTTGGCCACATAATTATTCTGCCTTATCAAATGAAATACATTATTTATTTTTTAAAAGGATGAATAAAATTTGGCAAAATAATGGTTCTTTAATGTTTAAGAACTCTAGTGGCCTAGTGGTAGGGAGTTGTGCTGCCAACCCAAAGGCAGTCTGTCCAAATCCAACAGCTGCAGAAAGATGGGCAATCTCCTGTGTGATTTACATACAGCCTCTGAAAAACCCATAGGTTGGCCAGCTATGAGTTGATTCCGACCTGATGGCACATCTTAACCACTACTGTTTAATGGGTGCATTCTACTTTTATAATCAAAACATGAATCCTCTAAAAGAACAAAAAAATTGCAAAATTCTCATTACTGTTTTAACATGAAACAATCTGTTTTCCAGAGCTGGTGAACAGACTCTGCCACTATAATAAATTCAGAGAGCCAACCACTCTTACTCATTAGTATTTTATCCATTCCTCATAGATGTCAAGTTGGAACTGACAGTTAACCTGAGAGGGCTTCTGAGCTATAAACTGCACAGGAAAGGATTACCCATAATCACCTATTGAATGAACAGCCAGAGAAGCTTGACCTTTGGTTAGCTGTGCAATTCCCTATAAAAAGATATGCCATTAGAGCTCTCCATTTAATATACAGACTAATTTTTTTTCCATTCTATCAAGATCATGTTTACTACAGAGAAACTATACACTTTAAAAGATTCTACCAAATGAGACTTTTCCCAGGATTACACAACTACGCTTATACACGTTCATTCCTATTCACTCCCTGTCTGACAACTGGATCTTTCTGTTGAAACAATAATCTGAACAAGTTATGATGTTTAGCTGAACTGGAGATAAAATTACATTCATTTGAGTTGTGGTGTTTGAGATGATTACTGAACATCCCATAGACCAGCAAAAGAACAAGCAAGTACATCTTGAATAAAATGCAACTAGGGTGCTCTGTGGAGGCAAGGATAGGGAAGCTTCATCTCATATACTTTGAATATGTTGTTAAAAGGGTCTGGTCCTTAGAAAAAAAAATCATGCTTGGAAAAGTGGAGGGCTAATGTAATAAATAAAGACCATAAGGGACTCTTGTGGACTCAGATTTATAAAATATAGAAAGCAAATGTTTATTATGGAAATATATTAACAAAATTATTAAAAATATAAACTAGATAAAACATAGTAAAACAAAAGATAACACAAAAACATTACCATTAATTGAAACCATAAAATGTCAATGACAGAAGTACCAAAGCCTGCGAAGTTCTGAGAGAAATTTAAGATACAACATTTTAGTTATTTAATACACCTAGACACAGCATTTACATTATTTGATTTTATAACAGAGTACCATTAGAAGCTTCGTGCAAATTTCAATTGCTTTAAATGTATAGTAAGACACATAAATTACATTGTTCAACATTACTGCCTTTGTCCTAAGTTACCTGAATATTCTCATTCCATTTCTCAGCAAAAAGCTTGTCTGGAAATTCTGCAGGTAAGGATAATTGTTCTTTAAAAATTTTAATATACTGTGGAAAACCAAATGAATTTATTAAGTGTATCTGTCGGTGTGAAAATCGTGACTTCACTCTTTTCTCTAAGAGTTCCAAAATATCCTTAAACAAAACAAAAAGAGACCCTTTTAAGATATATGCTAGATAGCACTTAATATAAATATTTTAAAGATCACTTGTAATTAGTAATGCTTATTCCATAATAAATAATTAAGCATTTAAAAACTGTTGGGACAAGAACTATACCTTGCCAAAATTACTACAGAATGTTCTGATGGAGGACATGATACATGGATTCTGATAAAAGGGGTAAAAAAGTGGCATGGAACTTCAAATTCTGAAAGAAACAGGCCTCGCAGACCCACCTGACCTGAAGGAATAACCAACATTATGGCAGTAAGTGAATTTTTAATTCTCAAAATGTAACCATTCCCTTTAAACAGATTAGTTCAGAAGGTAAAGATAACCCTTTACTTACACTTTTTTGGTACTATGTTCTTTTACCAAAAAATCATGGAAGACCAAAAGACAACATCTATTTTAAAGCAGACAAGTTTAGGAAGCAAGTCAAGGAAAGCCTCCACCATGTGCAAACACAGACACTACAGTAGTCACAGGGTCTGTCTTGATGAAATGCTTCCTCTTTGGTGCTGACCCTCCACTTTTCCAAGGATGCCATCCTTTACTAGTGACTGGAAACATGGTTCAAGTATGTGAGAAAAAGGGGAGCTCTGGTGGCCTAGTGGCAAGAAGCTGCACTGCAACCCCAGAGGCGCACGGTTCGAATCCACCAGATGCTCTGCCAGGAAAGGAGGGACAATCTCCTCCTGTACCAGTCAGATCTGATCTGACGGTACACACACACACACACAAATAATAATAAAATTAAAAAAAAAAGTATGTGAGAAAAAGTTTCTTCATTTTTGCTGTATAGGAACAATCTGGTCACACTTTCTCACAATCTAAGTCCAGTGCTGTAGTCACTGTTGTCAATTCATCTTGAGGGTCTTGCTCTCTTTTGGTGACCCTCTACCTTTCCCAGCATGGTGTCTTTTCCAAAGAATTGGCCCTCTGACAATATGCTCAAAGTATGTGAGAAAAAGTTTCACCACTTTTCCCTTAAAGGGGCAGTCTGTTTGCATGTCCTCTAAACAGACTTATTTGTTCTTCTGACAGTCCAGAGTATATTCAATTCTCTCCATCCTCATCACAATTCAAAAGCATCCATTCCTTAGTTTTCCTTATTAACTGCCCAACTTTCAGATGCATGTTAAGCAAATGAAAATAACCATGACTTGGACTGGAACACCTTAGCCCTTCAACTAACATCCTTGCTCTCTAGAACTTTATGTTAGAATGGTTTCTTGGAAAAAGACCGTATGTTGGGAAAGACAGAGGTTATTGAGAGAAGTAAAACTTCCAAGATAAGGACTGACAGAGTGGCTCCAACAACGGACTGAGCACTGTAAATATCATGATGATGGTTCACAACAGGCTAAGTGCTGATCTGTTGTTCACAGAGTTGCTATGAATTGTGGTGCTACGAATCCTTGGTAGTTAATAACAACATTATGATGTTGCTTACTGGTCTAGTTGTAAGGATTTTTTGTTTCCTTGATATCAAGATCACATTCATATTGATGGCTATCGTCTTAATCTTCTTTAGTAAATCTTTTACGTGTGTTTTTTTTTTCACTTTCTGCAAAGCAAAGTTGTGTCATATATATATAACAGGTTCATGAGAAGTCGTCTTCCAATCTTGATGCCACATTCTTCTTCAAAAAGACCAATTTCTTGAATTATTTGTGCAGTATCCAGACTGACTAGGTATGAAGGGTACAATCCTGGTACACACCTTGCCAGATTTTAAACTGTGATTTTTTCCTAGTGTATATGCACAGGTTTAGTATGAACATAAATGTTCTGGAATTCACATTCTTCTCAATGTATCCATAACTTCTTATGATCCACATAATAAAATGCCTTTGCATAGTCAGTAAAATACAAGAATACGTCTTTTTGGTATTCTCTACTTTCATGTAAGATCCATCTGACATCAGTAATGATAGCCTTGTTCCAAGAACTCTTAGGAATCCAGTTTGAATTTCTTGTACTTAAATGTGCTTTTCTACGTATTCCTCAGTAATCTTAGGCAAGATTTTAGTTTTGTATAATATTAATGATAGGGTTAGACAACTTCAACACTCTGCTGGATCATTTCTTCTTAGAATGGGTACAAACATGGATCTCTTCCAGTCAGTTGGCCAGGTCCTTGTCATCCAAATTTCTTGGCAGAGACTAATAAGCATGCCCAAGGTAACATCTATTTCCTGAAACACCTCAACTGGTATTCTATCAATTCTATGGGCCTTATTGTTTGCTAATGCCTTCAGGGTAGTTTGGATTTCTTCCTTTTTTATAAAGAGGCTACTGAAAGATAGTTTAGTACAAGTTCATTTTTCTATAAAGGAGAACATGCTTTACTAAGGAAATAAGTAAATGTGCTTGTCTTAAGCTTGAAAGAAATGAAGGGAAAATGAAGGATGAAAAGGAACCATTGCAGACACATGAGTATGGAAAGAGGTGTGAAAAAGGCCTCTGTAACTGCAGATTCAACATGCACAGAGCCTTCACAAAACCATGTTATATGACATTCAGACTAAGGTGAAAAGAATTCTCAAATCTCCCAAGGAATCTAAGGAATCATCTTCACTAGCTTGATAGATATAAACTCTTTTATTTCTGAAGATGTCTATTTATAAAGTTGGAATAGTATTTTGAGTTGATTCCAAGTTTTTTAAAATGAGGGAACAATTTTAAATGTAAAAAATTAACACCTTTTACAAAATTGTGGCGAGATTATTTTATAGCCTCGTTTACATTAGTATAATTTTACTTCCTTCAGCAATTTTACTAAAGAAGAGCTTGTATTTTTCTCTATAAGCAGAAAAGTGGAAAATACTCTCTAGGGATTAGTGAAATTGGAAAATAGTACTTCACAGAATTGCATACATAAGTAAAAGACTATGTCAGTAATTAAGTTTTTAGTCTCCATGATAATCAATTAAAAAAATTAAAAAGAAATAAATATGAAGACTTACCAATCTACACGTAAGACCAATAACTGCTACTGGAGTCTGTGCAGATTGAGAAATATCAAAAAGATTATAAAGCAGTGTTTGGTTTTTATGATGGGCAAAAAGATCAAATTCATCTAAAATGAAGATCACTGGGCAGCTGGTGCTCCTGGTACCTAAGAGAAAACCACAGTTAACTCTTTACTATATTTCACATTTTAAAACTCAATTATAACAAACATATTAAAAACGGGTTTTGGGTAGGGCACGTATTGATAACATGTACATTTTATTCAACAACAAAAATATCTGGAAGATTAAGACAGTCTCTGTTATAGCTCACAAGTTTATGGCCTAGCTGCTAAGTTTTAATAAATTAAGTACATGTAAATTAATTGAGATCATAGTTTAAAAATTAAATAAACATAATTAGTTTATATTTAGAAAATTTACAAGACTATTCCATAGTTAAAGAGAACTAACATAAAGAAAATGACTATGTTTATTCAAAAGAGACTTGTTTAATTACTAGAAATTTGTTAGAAAAAATACTTTTATAAACATTGGTATGCTCTTGCTCTTCAACTAAATCAACTTTAACGTCTTTTTCTCAACTTCTAACAATTACAATGGAGGAAATTTCCATGAGACTCTGAGAACGTTCATTTCTCCTTTCCATTGAAACAATGGAAACTAGCAGAAGCAGCAAGGGTATTTTTAAAAGCGTTATTTCTGCATAAATAGCAACAGAAAACATGATAAAGGGAGATTTACTCCACCTGAAAACATTATGTACACTGTAAAGGAAATGTCTTAGTAGTGGCACAAACCCTGAGAGAGTATTCAAAAGTCTAGAAAGGGATTAAATAAAAAAGAAATTCAGAATTTGATGAAATGTAGCGTTATAACTGATAGGAGAAAAAGAAGCTTAAAGGTAGACATTTATAATTTCTTATCATACCAAAACTCCTCACATATATGTATAAAAACAGACACAGAGATATATTACATAAAAACATGGGTGAGTGTTTCATAAATTGGGAGAGGGAGAATTTTCAAAATAACATGAATATTTGAAAAATTAAAAACATCTGTATAGAAGGAACGTCTAAACCAAATTTTAAAAGAAAAAAAAAAAGTAAGAAAATTTTAACAGATGAGATAAATATTCCCAAAACGAGACAAAGTAATAACATTCATAAACAAAGAAATTATTGTAAACAATGATCAAAACCTCCACTGAATCAACTGCTATTCCAGTTACACTACAGGACATAGTAAAAGCATCTCATCTGCTTTGCAAGGCTGTACATCTTTAGAGAAGCAGAGAGTCACATCTCCTTGAGTAGTTGGTGCGTTTAAAGTATAGCTCTTTTTGTTAGCAGCACCAAGTTTAATGTCCATACACTATGCTACCAGGGCTTGGTTCTAATAAACACCATCAACATAAAAATTGTTCTTACGTGACATCGAGTCACTTGCGACTCATAGCGACCATATGTACAAGAGCCCTAAACGCTATTCTATCCTGTGCCAACCTCGCCGTCTCAAACACACTCATTCCCACCACTCAACTCACAGAATTGATCCATCTCATTGAGGGTCTTATAAAGTTTTCTGTTAAACAGGCAAGGCAAACATTAATATTAATTATCTATTGTTTTTAAATTCTAGAAAAGAGGTACTCTCAAATATGTCTAGAATATGAAGGATACAATTTTCTATAGTAGTTTTTCAATATATTAAGGAAGTTGTTACGCACCCTTAAGTTGGAACAAAGTCATAGCTGGCTCTCCAGCAGGTTTTCAGAGACTGAAAATTACAGGGGAGGAGACTGCTCATTTTTCTTTTCTGGAGCAGCTAATGGATATGAACTACCTCCCTGAGTTGGCAGCAAACTACTTACCACTAAGCCACCAGAATATGATACCTTTTAAATAAAAATTCTACTCATTAAAATTATCCCCTAAAATTTGAACGATTTCTAAGCATTTATATTTCTAATTATAAAAACTTGTAAGCAAAGTGCTTGATGACTCAAATTAAAAAAGAAAAACCAAACCCGCATTACTGTAGAGTTGGAATGAACTGACAGATGACACTCAAGTAGGTTTTCTGAGGCAGTAAATCAAACAGAAGAAGGTTGCCCAATTTTCTCCCACAGAGCACCTAATGGAGGATCCCACCTTCTGCCTCTGGGTTAGCTGCACAAATCCTTATACACTAGGCCAGCAGAGTAACTGAATTATATACTACTTTAACATTTAAAAATTATAAATATATTATGCACACCAATATTTACAACTATGTAAAGATGCTCAGAAGAGAATAGTAGCTTAAAATAAATCACACAGTAATATACAAAGTATCCATTTTTGTATCAGTGTATACGAGTATAAAGATTAGTAACAGTAATCACTACTGTTTATGTTCTCTATTTTATATATTGTTTTGTAAAAGCATGTTACTTTACATTGAGGAAAAAAAGCTAAGAAAGTATTTTTTAACGCTTCTAGATGTTAATATTTACCTTTTTTTAAAGCTTCCAGAAGAAATGAAAGGTTTTCAGCAAAGCTTCCCTGAATAACAATAAAAAAAGATACTGTGAGTTTAATGAGGCCATGCTAAGCCTTTTTCCTGGTAAATAAGAGTATCTGCTTAATATCTCCAAGTTTATAGTCTAAAAATAAAATAGAAAAAATCAGAAAACCCAAGTGCTACTAATCAACTACAGTTAGTGACTCTGTATGGTTCAAGAGGAGAACTATGCTCCCTGGGAATTCCAATGGCAGATGATCTTAGAAGTCAACTACCAGGCCTGTTTTTAGATTTATTTCTGGTGGATTCAAACGTCCAACTTTACAGTCAGCAGTCATGTGTGTGACCAATTTGTGCCACTAGGGCTTATTATTGAAAATGTTAATATTAATGTTGGAAATTTTGCTTTTTCTAGATAAAATCTATAAAAATATTAGCTTTACTTAAATGTAAATTTGGTGAGATGATGTATTGCAAATAGTCAAAGAAGCTAGAATGAATTTTGTATCTTAAATTACAGCACATTGGGCTCTTTCAGATCTCAAATTCATTTGAACTGCTGCAGAAAAGACCATTACTTTAAATGAGATTTGAAAGACAAAACAGAAATTTGCTTCAAATATTTGAATACTATATTCAGCAAAAGGTTCTGAAAAACTTTAACATAATTTTTATTTATATATATTACAGACACAGACCCATACAATTTGTGTGCATTTAATTGGGACACAGTAAAAATACATTTTGATACAACTTAATTATTGTTGTTGTTATGTGCCGTCGAGTCATTTGCGACTCATAGCGACCCTATGTACAACAGCCCAAAACCATGCTCTATCCCATGCCAATCTCACTGCCTCTGACACACCCATCCCGATTACCCCAGTCACTGAATCAATCCACCTCATAGAGGGTCTTCCCCTCCTGCGCTGTCCCTCTACTCTACCCAGCATGATGTCCCTCTCTAAAGACCTGTTATTAATTAAGCAGCAGATACATTATCCAAGTGTTTCAGCTTACAAGTAAAGGGTTTCTTTTTAAAATAGACTTTATTAAACCAGTAAATTTTCACTTCCAATTTTGTATTTTAAAGAAACAGCTAACTTAAAATGCCAGCATCTATTAAGTAGGAAAAAGCAAAACAGAACAATTTTGCTTATTTTCCCAGTCAAGTGAATTGATACAAAAGAGCACAATAGGTTTCTAAGTGCTGCCACTTATTTTTTTGCTAATGAGTATGCTGTGATGTCAATAATTAAAAAGCAGACTGTGAGAGAGGCATCTGTAATTCAAACAACTGCTCAAAAAGACAATATGCTGAGAAATTACTGTTGATCAAAGTTGCTTGTCTATTTGCTGTTGTCAGATGTCATGAAGCTGACTGTGACTCATACCAACCCTAAGCATGACACTTCTGAATCCTGCCCTATCCTGCACCAATTCTCAATCTGTCATGTCAAGCCCCTTGTGGTAGTGTCCCCAACAATCCACTGCATTGAAGGTCTTCCTTTCTTTAGTCAAACCTCTATTTGCCCCAGATGTTGTGGACGACAGTTTCCCCATTCTCGCCTCTAAGGAGTATCCTGGCTGCACTTCCTTAAAGACATTTCATTTTTTTCTTTTGGCAGTCCATGCTATATTCTAATCTCTTCTCCAACACCAAAATTCAAAGACATCAATTCTTTTTCTGCCTTCTTTATTCACTGTTAGACTTTCAGATGCATAGAAAGCAACTGAAATACCTTGGTTTGGATCAAGCATATCTTAGTATTTAACCTGGTACCTTTGCTCTTTAGAATTTCAGAGAGCTCCTTGATAGTAAATTTCCCTAGTGTGATATGTCTTTTGATGTCTTAACTGCTGGTACCAAGGGTGTTGACTGTCAATCCAAGCCAAATGAAATCACTGACACTTCAATCTTTTCTCCAGCTATCAAGATGTTGCCTATCAGCCCAGTGGTGAGGTTTTTGTCGTCTTGATGTTGACATGTTATCCATATTGAAGGCAGTAGCCTTTAATCTTTTCCAGCAAAGGCTTCAAGTTTTCGTCACATTTTGCAAGCAGGATTCTTATTATCTGAATAATGCAGGTTGTTAACGAGCCTTCTCCCTGATTCCATAATCTTCTTCATATAGTGCAACTTCTTGAATGATTTGTGCAGCATACAGATTGAATAGGTGTAGAAAAATATACACCCGTAATGTAAAACTTTCCTAATTTTGTTTTCTGTTTTCTTGGTTTGGCATAAACAAAACATGCAAATAAGCTTTAATTCATTTTCTTTACTGTGCAGTCTGGCATGGGGATTGGTACTTCTAAAGGCCAACTGGGCTGCTCTTTCCACAAAGGAATTGTGGTTCTTGGAGGTAACATCCATGAGCAATCTCAACACAGTAAGATTTGCTGCATAACAGCATCTTTTCCAGCTCCTTGACATTGTGGACTAGGAATATGCAGAACACAATGGGCAACATGTGCTTTGTCATCTTGCTGCTCCTGTTACCAATGTTAGGCATCAAGATCTGGCCCTCAAATCTTCTCCAAACCCTGTTGTTATGCATCTGGCTTGTGCCAATTACACTTAATTTTGACATAGCAGTCTGACTGGTGCTGGATGAACTTGTTGGTCCTTTCTGACAAACTCTGGCTTCACCAGGAGGTCTAAGGGCAGCCATACTGCCAGGCAATGACTGCCACTTCCATAGAAAGTGCTGAAGGAGGTACCTTTCTTAATTTTAAACCATGCAGTGGTCTTCTGATCTGTTCAGACAACTGCTCCTTGGCTAGGTAAGATTTCACATGCACCAATAAGTGCTTCCCATTCTTAAAATTATTCAGTATTTGTTATGAACCACTAAAACGCCTTTGCACAATCAATAAAACACAAACATACTTCTGGGATTCTCTGCTTTCAGTCAAGAGTTATCTGATACCAGCAATCATATCCCTTATGCCCGAGCTCATCTGAATCCAGCTTGAACTTGTGCAAGTTCCCTGTCAATGTGTGCTTTCAAGTAAGATTTTATGTGCATTTGATATTAATGATACTGTTCAGTAATTCCTAGTCTGCTGGGTCATCTTTTATGGGAATTAGAACAAAGATCGATCTCTTACACAGCCAGTTGACTAGGTAGCTCTCTTCCATATCTGTTGACAGAAATCGATGAGCATGCATGCCCAGGGTTGCTTATGTTCTCTGAAGCACCTCAATTGACATTCCATCAATTCCTTAGAACTAGGGCAATGTTTTTGGTGCAAACTGCGCTTCCTCCATCAGTACTATTGGTTCTTCCTAATACATCCTGAAATAGTTCTGTGTCAACTAATTCATTCTGGTATAGTGATGGCGTGTATTCCCTCCATACTCTTTTGATCTTTCTACATCATTAAAGATTTTGCCCAAAGAATCCTTCAGTATTTGGGGTTTCATAACCCTTAACAATTGGCTTCTCTTAACCCCCATTGAGGGGAAATGACCTCCAACTACATTAACAGCAGACACATGGCCTTTTAAATCAACAGCTGTGAGACCAATAGAAGAGAGCGCTTTCCCTACTGTGAGAGACAGCAGTGACAGTGATGGAAAGATTGTGAAGAGACTGTGGCACTGGTGTGAAGATACTATGGTAAGCTGTAACCAGAGAAACCCTTCAGATAAAGGTTATAGTTGAAGGTTTTGCTTGCTGGATGCCTGAAGGAAAAACTATTTTATAACAGCTCTGAGATAAAGTTGGCTGGATAACTGAGGAAACCAGAGGCATCTTGCATTTGTAATGTAGAACTGAACTTGAATTTTCACTACTTGAGGAATTGTGTTTTGTTAATCTGGCTTGAGAGCGCCGGATTAAACATGTATTTGCACTGTGTGATATTGTTTGCCGTGTCCACCATTCAATGTATTTCCATAATAATATAGTCTGTGAATCTAGCAATGAACATCAGACCCAGTGATTGGTAGAAAAAGGTGCAAGAGCAGGGGGAGTGGCATGTCTGACCTTGTAGCTGTATTTTGGTACTACAGATATTATTGATGTGGATCACTCTTCTTTATAGAAGGGACAGAAGTCAGACTCGATTACCCTCATATTGTATCTGCTCCTTTTACAGTGCTGCAACTCAAGGCGTGAATTTGTCCTTGAGTTCTTTCAGCTTGAGAAATGCTAAGTATGTTCTTCCCTTTTGGTTTTCTAACTCTAGCTCCTTGTATATTTCATTAAAAACTGTTCTGACTTTTACAATTTTAAAAACGTTACATACTACAGCTTCTCTATCCATTCCTTTGTTGATGGGCACTTAGGTTGTTTCCAACTTCTTGCTATTGTGAACAAAGCCGCGATGAGAGCAGTTTAAAAGTGATATATAATAGCATATTATGATTATCACAGGAATCCAGAATTAAGGTTGCATAGTGGAGTGCATTTCAGGGGGGCAGGGTCGGGGTCAGGGGGGACTTTATACCAACGAAGAAATTTACCTTTTGCTTTTCAAAGAGAGGAATGAACTGGGGGGAGGGGGGTAAAGAAAAAAGTGCAACAATGAATGAATGAAAATCCAAAATCTCTGTAAATGTTCATTAAAATTAATAAAATAAAAAGTTTCATACTGACATAGTAATTTTACTGTTTCATTTCTCACTACCCTAAGATTCTAAAATGGTTATGACAATGGTAACTGATTAAGTTCCTGAAAATAAATGATATTTATATAGTTTATTATCATCAGCCAATTTAATTAAATCTATTTTTTTGTAGAATGACCTATGGCGTATGTATGAGAAAACAACGCAGACGTAACAGAGGAGACACCCCAAATTCAGGATCACTAGATAGTAAGTAAATAGGAGAATTGATGTCTTTGGGATGTAGTGCTGAAGAAGATTACTGAATATATCATGGACTGCTAGGAGAACAAACAGGTTCATCCTAGAAACAGTGAAACTAGGCTGCTCCTTGGAGGAATGGATTCTGAAGCTTTGTCTGACATACTCCAGGCATGTTAAAAGGAGGGACCAATCTTTGGAGAGGGATAGCGTGCTTGGGAGGGCTGAAGGCCAGCCTAAGAGAGGAAGACCTTGGATTAAATGGATTGATCCAGTGACTGGAGTTATGGGGGAAGGCATGTCAGAGATGATTAAGGTTGGCTAAGGATAGAACAGGGTTTAGGGCTGTTTACACAGGGTCGCTATGAGTCGCCAGCACTCAACAGCACATAACAACAACAACAACAACAACAACAGATAGTATGTAAGTAATTCTGAAGCAAACTCAAACTAGCCACTGTGGTTTTAAATTTAGTACTATTTCCATGGACTCAAGTCTACATTTTTATGACAAGAATCTGGCTTATATTAATTTGGGATCTCTGAATGAGCCCTAATCTAACCAAAAAGAATAATATCTACACTATATAAATTTTATTTTGAAGATTACTTAAAAGAAAAAAAAAATGATGCTTGGAAAAGTAAAGAGTTGGCAAAAGAGAAGATGATCTTCAACATTTGAAATGGACTGAGAATGACTACAACAACAGGCTTAAGCACAGCAGATTGTAAGGAAGGAGCAGGATCAGGGAGGATTTCAATCTGTTGCACACAGGGTTACTGTGGGTTGGAGTTGACTTGACAGCATCTAACAACAACGAAAATGATACTTACAAACACTTTATCTCCAACTACATTTTCCAGATTTAACTGCCTTGTGATTTCCTTTAGGGCAATTTTATCATTAATCTGCAGGAGCCCTGAAATAAAAGACCATTTGAAAGTAGTTAGTAAAATGAAATACATTTTTTATGTAATGCAGATTATTTGTTTCCCAGTTCAGTATACTTTCTAACCCTTTCTGCTAGAAATGAAATTGTCAAAGTCTGTTACTTTATTTGATTTTAAAAAATCAGGAAGTAAGGGACCCCTGATGGCCTTGTGGCAAGAAGTTGCACTGCAATCCCAGAGGTACATGGTTTGGATCCACCAGATGCTCTGCTGGAGAAGGATAGGCACACACACAAAAAAAGAAATAAAATAAAAATTAAGAATTAAGATATCTGGTAGACTGAAAAAAAAAATGGTACTTAAGAGTTTTCAAACTCATTTTCAGAGCTGATTCTGACTAACTAGGAGTGATCCTCCACTGAGTTTCCATTATGAGCTGAAAATCATAATGGAACGTGATTGTTCATCTTTTTCCTGCAGAGCTGCTGATGGGTTTGAACTGCTGGAGATGCTGAGCCAGTTGGTTAGCAGCACAACATGCTATGGCGTCCAACATCAGAGTACCTGGGGCAAGAGCTACTAAAAAAAAATACTTGATTAAGGCACTACTGAACTCTTACGTAATTTTAATTTCTAAAATTACTGTGTATGGAATGATAAAAGCTGTTACGCATGAGTTCATTTTTTTTCCAAATATAATTATTAATACAGATTTAAAATACTTGTTATGGTTTGAATTATGTCCCCCAAATACATTTGCTATAAATCATAATCCCCTATACATATGGATATGATATGTTCACGTTACATCAAGTCAAGTCAATCAGTGGAGAATGTGTCTTAATATGTTAAATGAGATTTGGTCCAGAGTGGCAAGCAGTGAGGAATGCAATGTCATACCATAAGAAGACTGCCACAGAAGCAAGAAACAGAAGTTGGAAAGAGACAGACTTTCCAGAGTAGACAGAAAGGAAATTCCACAAGGTTTTTCACGCACTGCACTCAAGTCAGAAACCAACTCACAGCTGACTCGTCAGTGGGCTTCCTAGACTGTGCACTGCACAGCAAGTGACTACCCATTTTTCCCTAGCTGAGGCTCAATCTCTGGTTTAGCTAAGAAATTCCCTACAGACCATACTACTGGGAGACCATACTACTCTCCCAGAGTGAGTACCCTGAAATTTGGATTTTTGCCCCTTAAACTGTGAACCAAATTTTCTGTTTATTAATTCACCCATTTGTGATGTTTCTGAGACATACAAAAAAATCTCATTTCAAAGAAGGAAAGTTTCTATTCCAATAGCTAAATTACATACTTACCATTTAGGTGAACTTGTAAAACATTTTCCCTTATTTCTTCTATTTCCATGAGTTCTTTTAAAGCATGATTCATTAACTACATAAAAAAAGAAAAGTTTAAAAATATTTAAGAAGATGTCAAGAAAAAGATAATTTTCTCTTTTAAATGATAACTAGAATGATCAGAGTTTAAAAAGACTGGTCTTAAATTAACACATACAGGGGAGCTCTGGTGGCCTAGTGGCAAGAAGCTGCACTGCAATCCCAGAGGCGCACGGTTCGAATCTACCAGATACTCTGCCAGGGAAGGAGGGACAATCCCCTCCTGTACCAGTCAGATCTGATTTGACGGTACACACAAATAATAAAATAAAAATTTTTTAAAAAAAAATAAAAAGTACATTTTCAGATTTTTTTTAAACATAAAAGGTATAATCAGAACATCCCATGCCTGACTCTTCTTAAATGTCAAGCCACACACAGGACTCATACCACACTATCTCAATCACCTATGTGAACTTCTAGTAACTCTTTAAAAACAATTATCAAGTTATTAAAAAAAATATTTTATACAGTCACAAAGAATATGGCTAACAGAGGTTAGTGGAAAAAATAAAAAGGAAAAAACACAATAAAACAAAAACTCCACAACCAACCAACCAACCAAAACTAAAAACACCATGCACTGAAAAACAGTAAAAATTATGATAAAAGGCTCACCAACATAACACTTCCTAATTCACAGACCATTGTTATCAATGTGTCAGAATGGACTAACAGCAAACTGTCCAATAGATTTGAAGATGGAGTCAATAGCACAAGAGGAGATTGTCTGTTTAAAAAATGGTCCATATATGTCCCTCTGAGCTCACTATTGCCAAGTATATTAATTTTTATGTGTTCCATTTCATTATTTACAACTTCCAATTGTCCTAGATTTTTATTTCACACATTCCACATTCTAGTTTTAATGGACGTCTGCAACTGGTTTTCCTTGTTTTGAGCCTTGCCGTGTCAGCAAGAAAAGATCTTCTTTGGTTTGACCTCATCTGAATTGTTAGGGTAGACTGTCCTTTGAAGAGACAGCTCTTCCTCAGGTGGATTCTGAGTGTCTTCCAACCTGAGGAGGTCATCTTCTGGACTTGTAGCAATCTGTGTACCAATATTATTCAGAGTTTTCAATGATTTGTTCTTTCAAAAAGAGTTGGCCGACCCTGCTTCTTAATCTCCCTTGGTCTGGAAGCTCTCCTGAAACTCATCCACCAAGGGTGACCCTGTTTATATGTGAAATACTAGTGGCACAGCTTCTAGTATCATAGCAACACACACTCACCACAGTATAGCAAACTGACAAGTAAGTGGTAGAGTAAGGACTCAAGAAATGTCTTTACCTCCTTCAATCTCTTCTTTCATTTTTACTATTTATTTTTGTTGCATGGTAACCACAAAGTTATTCACATTAAACAGATGAGTTGTGGGATGGGATCGATGACATTATCCATGAAGAAAACAAAAGATCATTAAAAAGAAAGACCAAAATGGATGTCAAAAAGAAAATCTGAAACTAGCTCTTCAATGTAGAAAAGTCAAAACAAAGGGGAAGAAATGATAAAAAGAGCAGAACAGAAAATTTGAGAGGGCAGCTTAGAGAAGACAAAGCATAATATCAGAACGATATGCTCAAAGACTTGGAGTTACTAAAACAAAAGGGATGGACAAAGTATTTCCCAACCTGGTAGAACTGAAGGTAAAACTCATGCCACAAGCTGCAATAATGAAAGATTCTATGAACAAAATATAGAATGATTCAGGAAGCATAATGCAAGAAAAATTATGAAAAGAATACTCAATCACTATACCAAAAATAATTGGTCTACTGCAGATCATTATAGGAAATAGCACATCATAAAAAAAAAATACAGAAGGAAAAAGGCTAATGTATGTTAAATAAATTGGCAAAAAAATAAGGCCATAGAAATTAGTATACTATCAACTGCCATGTTTCAGTAAACAGATGCAGCCCTGGATGTGCTCACTAGGCTATGTCATGAAAATTAAAGTGTAACTACTTGGATAAGCAACTGAAAGACATTAATTCCAAATAAATAGTGACCTAACACAATGCAGAAATTACTGAATAGTAACATATTATTTAGTAAGCAATAAAAAAGATTTGATATTTTTAATATTAAAAAAGTTTTCTGGAACAGCACATTGCTAGTGAACCGCTACTACACTGTGCTCATGCAAAACGTGTACATAGAGAAAATAATAGAAACTGGACTTGCTGAATAAGAATGTGACATTAGAACTTGAGCAAGACTAATCAACAACCTCTGTCATGAAGATGAATCAAATTTGCTTGCAGAAAGTGAAGACTTGAAGGAATGAAAAAATATATGGACAATAGAAATATACCACCCATATTTTAAAAGGTGTTTTCTTCATTATGCTGAGTGAAATATCCCAGTCACAAAAGGACAAATATTACATGATGCCACTGTTGTAGAATGGGACTGTCCTTGGGGTTAGGGAGACACTGAGTAAGATGGGTTCAATAATGTATACTGCACTGAAACAGAGGAGGGAGAAAACCGTCTAAAAGAGAGATATAACTAGGTATTTCTGTCATCACAGGAGACTAGAGCGAGGGCTGCATGGTGGAGGGGACCTGGGGGAGGGTTTGTAAAACAATGAAAGAATCTTTTCTTTTACTTTTCCATAATTTTTGGACTCATGTACTTATAACTTGTTAGTCAAATTTGTGTCTTCTAGGTTGCAACACCCCCATAATACATCTTGAAGGATATGTACATGTACAGCCAAGCACAATCAATAAGAGTGCATCTGAATTCCAAAATCAATCTCCATAATAGTCTATGTGTTTCCTACTGCCAAAGGGGCCCTTTAGAGTAGTGAGAGAAGATCTTCACCCTGAAACCCACAGCGTCCCTTTTCAGCAGGAAGTAGCTAAGAGAATACGCTGTCCCCTTTTCCTTATGACTCAGGGTGAAGTCTCTCTCAGGGAGGAGTGATAGGGAATGGCAAAGGATACACTGACAAAGAAGATTAATCAGAACTGGCTTTGACAAGCACTGTGGCATTTGGACAAGAACAAACTGGGAGGAGGGTAGAGAGAATAGTGCAACAATGAATGAGTGGAAGCCCAAAATCTCTGTAAATGTTTATGAAAATTAATAAAGTATAATTATAGGAAAAAAAAAAAAAGGTGTTTTCTTGTCTCTGTAATAAAAGAAAAATGTTGGTTCACAAATAAAAATGTATTTTGTGTGCTAAAATAAAAGCCATCTTACTTTATATGCTGGCCAGAACAAAGAAATAACAGAAATCAACAAATCTTACCACGGTCTTTCCTGATCCTCGAGGTCCAATAATGAGAACAGAGTTACTTTCTCCATGAATTGCAGTTCTTTTTAGCAACTCAATTAAATGTCTGAAACAATATAAATAGGCAAAAATTTGTAAGTAAGTAGAAACAGACTGCTACAAATAGAATTCATATACACAGAAAAGAGATTCTTTTTCTCTTTCCTCCCTTAGGCTACTTGAATTGGGATCTAAGTTGCCCCATAAAAAGAAAATGGTAGGTCAATGCTGTTACTCTGGAACTTTCAGATAAGCCTAGGAAGTCTGGAATATCTTAATCCTTATGATAGTAGGCATCAAGGGATAACAACGAAAGGAGGCCTTCAGAACCCCCCTTGCCTATACGCAGCACCATGCCTTTTTATTCTACAGCTGACTGCTGCTGTTTTGTACCATGGAATCAGAAGTGACTCATAATTGACCGTTCAGCAGGTTTTTCTTAGGCAGTACACTGCATGGGAGGAGATGGCCAATCTTTCTTCTGAAAGAGCAGCTGATGCATTCAAATTGCCTGCTTTTGGGTTAGCAGTGTAACTCCACACTACTAAGTCACTAGAGCTCCCTAACAATCAGGTAGGAGATAAAAAGTTCAGAATTCTCTCCATAGTAACAACAAAAGACTGAAAGTTAAAAGACCATCTCATTATAGAAACACATCTGCTCTTAATTTAGAAAAATTCCGTTATTTCCATACACAAAATACAAATTTCCTGCTTTTATAAAATACTTTGTTAGCCTGATTTCTATACAACAAATATAGTAAAACCTGGGCAGCATCTGTAAGGAGATTCATAAAGACAAGAGAATAACAGCTAAACTTACTTGTATTGTACTTGTACTCCAAAAAGGTTACTATGGGAATTTTGATGACAAAATCTTTCACGTAAAATCCTTTGTAACTGTTGAAAAATAACATGAACAAGTAGAAGTGAAAATATTTTATATATGTTTATAAAAAATGAGAAATTTTCACCAGCTGGAATTAGTGAACCGATGGATTCACACAACCCTACGAAAATACTTACTCTCAATAGTTCTGGTATCACTTCAAGGAATTACAAAATTAATTGGTTCTTTTCCCCTAATATTAAGAGGGGGAATTACTTACTGGAAGTATATTAGCAATATAAGTTCTACTTCAATGCATGGGAATTAATGAATACTTCATTTTGTATACTGTGGCAGCTACAAAACAGAAAAGAATCTAAAAAATATAATAAAGCACTACACAATTGGTAAAAAACCCAAACCCTGTTAACACTATTAAGTCAGTTGGGAAACACAGTGGAGTACTCACAATGGGAGGATAGTGTCCCTGAGAATGGGAGGATAGTTTCCCTGAGAAGCCTCTGGTGGATTCAAACAACCAGAGGTTGCTGCAGTCTTTGGGTTAGAAGTTTACCTTGCTACGTACTAGGTCATCAGAGTTCCCTTACACAAATGTTGATTGTTATGTATTGTCCAGGTGGAAACAACTCACTGTTGACCCTTCAGTGGGTTTTTAGAAGGAGTAAACGACATAGAAGGAAACTACTTTTTTCCTATGAAGCAGCTAGTGGATTAGAACCATCTGCCTTTGAATTGGCAGTGCAATTTCTAACCACTAAGCCACCAGAGAAAGCAACAAATGTAAGTCAACTTAGTTTAAGTACTATTGATTTGTAACTCTAATAAAGCCAGAATTCTTAGAAATAAAAGTTTCAAAGACCATATATAATAAAACACTGAAAGCCAGAACCTGTGTAAGGCAGAAATCTGTCAGAGAAGGAAAACACAAACTTTTTCCCCCCACTGAAATAAGCAGTACAAAAACCCTGAGAAATGTGTCTTTCCAAAGTAGGAGTATGAGAACAGGAAAAACAAGGTTGTCATGTGAAATTCCAGCTCTCACAGGACTCACTGTAGTTACTGAGAACCTATCAGATGCAGAACACAATACAACTAAAGTGGCACAATTCAAGACTGAAAGACACTGCAAGGAAACTGCAAAGGAAGCACATATTCAAGAAATAAATGGAGGAAAATTAGTCACTCACCATTTATCAACACACTTAATTAGAAAGTAAAACCAAATTCTTCTAGGCTGTAACACAGGCAATCTTGGAATTATGAAAATGACTTGTAAAGAGAAGGCCTTAAAGTAAAGGGCAAAAAGATCTAGTTGCAAAAAAGATCACACTGAAAAATCTAGTGCATTTTTTTCTAAGATAAAATACTTACAGTCATTCCTTTTCTACATCAAGTACTAATAAAGAAGGGGGGAAGGGATCTCAGGGAATATTCAGATTTGGTCCAATGAGAAATTTAAGCTTCTAATATCTGCTTCTTCCAGACTGAAAGCATGAGACTAAGCCTTCAAACAGCCAAAACAGATATCTGAGTTGTCTTTACATGTATTCCAGTTTAAGCAAAGAAATTACTTATTAGAAAGAGACTGATGAACATAGTTTGCAAACCTGAGCACCTATTGACAATATAGTCTCAAATAAGTTGTATTATATAAATTGACACTGATTAAAAAGAATCCTTATTACATAATTATAGTGGAAGAGGAAAGAATAGGGGAATCAGTGTCAAAGGAGCCAGTTATGTAAATTAGAAATGGTTAACACTTCTAAGTCTGAATTTTTTATCTTATAAAATAAGGACCATACCAATCCTTAAAGAAAAAGAAATCATAATCAAAATGTATATTCTTTATTTATTTATTCCTCTACCTGGATGAGATCAACATATATGAAAAACACCTCAATACTGTACCTAAAAGAAAAAACTCATTAAAAGATATAAAGGAAGAAAAACGATGTATTAAATGTAAAACAAATGCAAACAAGATACAGCAAGCAGTTGGTGGGGGAGGGGCGAGGGAACATACCACAAAGTAGACTAAGATGGAAGAAAAGCAAATAATAAACATAAAAATGAGTTAAGCTGGACATAAATTGTATGTAATTTATAACGATTACATAATATATCTCAGTTAAAAAACGCTGAAATATATAGTTAACCATTTTCATTAAAAAAGAAAAAGGATAATCATAATACTTTTGAGTAAAGGAAAAAACCAATTCCTATCAAGCCTAATGAACAGAAATGCCAGAGTAGGAATGTCATGCCCACTCAATTACATGCTTCTTTAGGACAGAGATACACAAGTATATGGTCAGTACTAGGAACATGGTATACATTTACTGAGCTTGAAACAAACTCGCACTAGAAGGGATCTTCCGTAAGCTATCATCATAATTAACGGTAGAAAATGGAATGTTTTCCTCTTAACATATCAAAAACAACACAGATGTCTATTTTCACCATTTCTATTCAACTCTGTTTTAGAATTCTATTAGCTAATGTGTCAAGAGCAAATAAAACTATCCTATATAGAGAGAAAAGATAGTAGCTGGGCTGGGCTCTGAAGAGAAAGGTGGCATCAAGATTAGAGAAAAACTCATCAATAATCTGTGTTATGCAGATGACAAAAGCCTGCTTGCTGAAACCAAGAACCTGAAGCGTCTGCTGCAGAATGTTCAGGACTGCAACCTTAAATAAGGATTGAGGCTCAACATAAAGAAAACAAAGATTCTCATCAATGGGCTGATTGGCAGCATCTAAACAGAAGGTGAAGTGATTGAGATTGTTAACAGCTTTGGTTTGCTGACACAATCAACACTCTTTTTACCAGCAGCCAGCAAATTAAGAGATGAACTGCATTGGGAAAGTCTGCTGTCAGAGACCTCTCCAGAGCATTGATGAGCAATGATGTCCGTCTGGACACTAAGGTGCAACCAATCCAGGCCACAGTCTTTGTAATTATTTCCTATGCGTCAGAAAACTGGACAAAGAATAGGAATGACAGAAGGAGAATTGATGTCTTTGACATGAGACAATGAAGAAGAGTACTGAATATACCACGGACTGCCAGGAGAACAAACAGGTTCATCTTAGAGAGGGTGAAACCAGGTTGCTCCTTGGAGGCAAGGATTCTCAAGCTTCGTCTGACATACTCTAGGCATGTTTCCATGAGGGACCAGTCTTTGGAGAGCGACATCATACTTGGAGGGGTGGAAGGTAAAGAAAGAGAGGAAGACCCTCAATGAGATGGATTGATTCTGAGACTGGACTAATGAGGGTAGGTATGTCCAAGACAGTAAAGCTGGCACAGGATAGAAAAGGGTTTAGGGCTATTGTACATAAGGTTGCTATGAGTTGCAAGAGACTCGATGGCACATCACAACAACAACAACAACAACAACATCATACTGAGAACTTTAGGAATCAACTGAAAAATTTTTAGAACAAGTAAATTCAGCAAGATTGCAGGATGTAAAAGTAATATAGAAAAATCAAATGTATTACTGTACTAGCAAAGAACTAACAGGGAGTGGGGGAGAATCTCCATTTATAAAGGATTAAAAGAGAAAATACAACAAATTGTAATTTAAACTTCAACAAACTATAAAACTTTAAAGGAATACTACATTGAAATTAGGTCATGATTAGGAATACAAAGTTAGGATTCCAATTATGAAATCTATGTGATGTTAAAATTATAAACCATACAAAAAGGCCAGTAAACAGGCCTATCAACAAAACTATCTGTTGGTACACATTTAATTTTGACAGACTTTACAGTATTTTGCTTTCAGATTATTTTTCTTTTTAATGAAAACAGTGAATTTTTATTAGTGGTAAAGAGCAAATTCAAGAAAAGCAGAGTACCTCCTTGATCATTTGTATGGTATAAGGCCTTGAGATGAATACAAAAACAAATACTAACCTGTGAAAGGCATTCTGCATGTATTAAGCTGTTACTCTTTGATTTGCGACTGCTCATTTCATGAAATTCAGATGCCTTGAGGAGAGAATAAACCAAAACATATAGCATAACTATTATAATAAAGATCATTGGTTTAATAAGCTAATAATTAAGAGTTTACTATTACTACAGAGCCAAAGTAAATACAATTATTAAGATTGAAAATGTTCCTATTTCTATTAATTGTAAAACTTTAAATAGCCCCCTCTAAGTATAGGCGTATTTGACATCCACAACACTTTACATGATTTTTACAGATGAACTCTGTACTCTTCCTTCTTGCCTCTAGTACTCTCCTTTACTACCTTGCTTTTTAAGAATGTAAACAAAACCCATTAGGTACTATTATTTGAATGCATACTATTAACCGAGTGTTTGTTCTTTAGCCAACAGATTTTGAAAGGAAGAACCAAGTTTCGTAACTAAATATTCAAGTTCACACCGATTAATTTCATGTTATACAGAAAACTAGAAGCAAACCCTGAGACTGAGAATTTCTTCTCTGATGGAAACGCTAACAGATGAGAATCTGAGCAAAGTCTTGACAGACAAACAGCAAACAAATCTGTTTCAATTTTTACTGTATAAAAAGCCATGCAACTTAAGGTGTGAAACAATAATGAGCGTTGGGATCCATGCTCCCAAACTGGAAATTTAAAATAGTCAAATAATGATGGATCTCATCCCTTAACAATCTTCTTCCTTAGAAGTAATAATTTATTATATTACTGTTTCTTAGACTAGCTAGGAAAGGTAGAGGGTTAGAGAAAGAAAGGAAGACGCTGAGTAACATGGACTGAACCGTGACTACCACAAAAGACTTGAACATGAGAGACATCTAAAGTGTAGGATAGGGCAAGGTTCAGATATTTTGTATACAGCGCTGCTATGAGTTGTAGTTGACTCTAAAGCATCCAACACTGCTTAGAAAATCTTAACCCATTCACTTGTCTCTAGCTGCATCTACTCCAGCTTAGATCAATCATATAGCTCAACTGCAAATCTTTAAAAGCTCTAATAAAATCAATCAAATAAGGAGTTTGTTGTTGTTAAGTGCCATGAGTTGCAGGTAACTCATAGCGACCCTATGAATGAAAGTCCTGGACACTACCTGTATAACTTCCGTCCTTTCTCCAGGTTCATAGGGTTTCTAGAGGCAAGCTATTGTGGAAGTGGATGCCACTCCTGCTTCCAAGCTTGTTTTAATCAGAAAGTTTCACCAAACCCTGTCCACCATGGGTAACAGTATTTGGCTTCACAGCAACCATGAGTTACCTCTGTACAGCAGGTGAACATACCAGGGTTACACGAACTCTGGCTTGGGAGTTACTACAAGATGATAATCTTAGTCCCAAGTATGGGATGAACGAAAATTGGTTAAGCACCAGCATACTAGTACTGGAGGACAAATTGCATCAGCCACTAAGATAGCAATGGATCAATCCCAAAATAGTTCTAATTTGTGAAAACATGAGCAATATAAATGTACTTAAAACATCAATCCCAGGGCAACAAACCTGAATCTTTTTAATTGGAATGTTCTTTTTTATTTTTTAAAAATCAGACTGCTGTAACAAATCATGCCTTCAGAGAGTTCTTGGAAAATATCATCAGGATTTTAGAAACCTGAGCCAACTTAACCTTACTCTAAAGTCCAATCTCTCTATATACTAATCCCTTAAAGGTCACATGAGACCCTTAACAGTTATACTGAGAACAGACTGGAGAAATTTATTTCAGAGAATCACAGAATAGAAAAACTTGTCTTTGCCATAAGATAAATTAAACAACTCCTTACCATCAAGTCAGAACCACTCATGGCTGAACCTTAGCAGGTTTTTGGAGGCTGTAAATTACATAACAAGAGACTGTCCATCATTCTTTCTTTGAGACACTGATAATTTGAATGTCAAACATTTGCAAACTTTGGGTTAAAAGAACACCTCTCTGTAGACTATATCATCAGAGGTATCTTTGCCAAAGAACACAAAAGTCCTCACCACTGAGCCAACAGACTCATGACAGACAGAGAGAAGGATGAATCTGTCAATGATTTAATCTCACTTGTATCCATAATCAACATGCTTGATACTAGCAGTCAAGAAATCAATAGATGTACTGCATCTGGTAAATCCAATGTCAAGGACCTAAGATTGTTAAGGAGCAATGATGTCAGTTTAAAGACTAAACTGCATATTACTTAAGTCGTGTTGTTTTTAAGTGCCACTGAGTACAATTCATAGTGACCCTATAAACAACATATCTGAACTCTGTCCTATCCTGTGCCATCCTCACAATCTCTGGCACACCTGAGCCCACTGCTGCAGTCACTGTGACAATCCACATGGTTGGGGTCTTCCTCTATTTCACTGTCCCTCCACCTTTCCAAGCATGTCTCTCTCCAAGAAATAAGACTCTTCTAGAAACATGCTCAAAATATGTAAGATGAAGTTTTACCATCTTTGTTTCCAAAGACATATCTGTTTGTTCTTCTGGCAGTCAACATCACAGCTCAAAGGCACCAATTCTTCTTCTGTCATCCTTAGTCAATGTCCAACGTTCAGATGCACATCAAGTGACTGAATAAACCACAGCCTAATCAGGCATACTTTTTAACCCTCAAACTGCAAATCCTTCTCACTTTAAGCAAGGAAGGTTGTTGTTATCTGTATAACAAAGGTTAGTGATGAGTCTTCCTCCAGGACATAGTCTTTTAATTACTTGTTAGCATATGAAAGTTGGACTAAGGATGACAGATACTTTTGAGCCTTGGTGTTAGAGAAGAGTACTAAACATCCCATGGACTGCCAAAAGAATAAACAAATATGACTTGGAGAAAGTACAACCAGCGTGTTCCATGGAGACAAGGATTGGTGAGCATGTCCAGCCTCAATTGCGTGGATATCTAAAATGACTGGGGAAGAAATGCTTGCTCAAAGTAGGGTTGACCTTTACCAAATGAATTAAGAACCTTCACTGGCTGATGTGGAATGACTCCAAATGAATTATGAGCACTTAATTGTGCTTGTGTATGTTCAGCACATAGACCAGTTAAGTAGTTAGAACAACACAAGAGGATACTGCTTGGTTTAAAACCAGGAAAGGTGTGTGACAGAGCTGTAAATTTTACCATATCCAATCTGCATGCTGATGAAATAATTTGAGAAGCAGGATTATACGTAGAATGTGGCATCAGGATTGGAGAAAACTCACCAGCTTGAAATATGTCAATGACAACCCTGCAGTCAGAAAATGAAGAGTGGAAGCACTTCAGGATGAAACTCAAAAGATTTCAGTATGCATTACACACCACAACAATACCAAAACAAAATCTTCACAAATGGACCATGCATCATGACATATGGAGAAAATATTTTAGTTGTCAATGATATGAATATAAAATTTCATTTGAGTCCACAATTAACACCCATTGAAAACAAACAAACAAACAAACTCAAAGAACTTACTGCACTGATCAAATCTGCTGTGTGTTATTAGCCTAAAAGTTGGCTTTTTTGAAGTCATTATGTTAAGGCCCCTCTGGTCTCCAGCTACTTTAACTGCAGACATATGGTCTTGCAAATTAATAACAGCTGTGGGACTAGGATAAGTCAGAGTGCTTCCCACACTGACTAGCAAGACTTGTGGAAGCAAGACTTGAGATGGCCAAGACTTGAGGAAGACTGAGGCAAGACTCTGTTGAAAGTGAGACAATGGTGATGATGGTGGAGAGACTGTGGCATTGCTGTGAAGAAACTGTAGCAAGGTGTGACCTCATGCTTCTTGCATTTGTGTTGGCCACAGTTAAAGGTTTTGCTGTCCTTGCCAGAAGGTTTGGACTTGACTGTGGAACTGAACCCAATCCTGGACTAAATGAGGAGTTGTGCCTTAGTATTTGGGCTATAACTTGGACTTGTACTGGGTGATATTCTTTGCCTCCCCAACTTACTTCAGTAATAAATCCCATTCTCAGGAACACAACTGTGGATCTGTGTGCCAACAAAGACCTGTTACAGTGATTATGGGCTTTATGCTCTTTGGCGGTGGGGGGTGGTGCTATTCTTACATCCTTTAGCCCCCTCAGAAAGAAGATCAAGGCCCTGTGTCACCATGCCCTGTTTTTTTGTTCTTTAGGCATTAGTTTAAAAACCTAAAATGTGCCTGGCCAAACCTATGGCATTTTCAATTTCTTCATATACATGTAAAATCTGGACAATAGAAAAGGAGACTAAAAAAATAATTATAGTCTTGGAGAATAATAATGAATGAAAGAAAACTGTTTTAGAAGTTAAGATGTTCCTTAAAAAACATATAAACTGTGGATATATAATCAGAAGGAGTCAATCAGAGAAGGACTGACTGTGTTTGGAAAAGTAGAGTCAGGAAAAATAGTAAGACCTCAATGAGATGGAGGGACAGAACTCCAACAAGGGGCTTAAACACAGCATACAACATAGAGAGGGCTTAGGACCACAAGGCAAGACTTCCTTCTGTTTACAGAATAGTTGTAGGCTGGAGCCAATGTGACAGAAACTGTTTTGGAGAAACTGAAATCAGAGTGATCCTTGGAGGCAAGGATAATGAAATTCCATTTCTCATACTTTGGGCATGTTGCTAGGAGTGCCAAACCTTAGAGCCCATCATGCTTGGTAAGGTGGAAGGTCAGCTAAAGAGAGGAAGACTCTCAACATGATGGATTAACCCAATGGTCCTAACAATGGGCTTGAGTATATCAGAGATGATGAGGATGGCACAGGATGTGTTGGGGTTCAGATTTGCTGTTCACAGGTGGCTATAAATCGCAGGGAACTCCATGACACATTAACAATGACAATGATGTGTGAATTATGTGTAAGTCTCAATTTTATAAAAATATAACAATAGTGAAGGTAGTCTTTTGGTGGAAAAAAAAAAACCAATGAAGAGAAAGTGTTACCTCTTGTAACAACACATAAAAGAAAAAAGGTGGGAATGGGAATAAAGATGGAAGGATTAGAAGATAGCAGAGAATAAAGGAATGAGAAAAAGAA